AAAACCTGTAATGATTCACTGAAACAAAGACTTTCAAATCATTGTGTGACTTCGAACATCAGAAGTTTCATGTAGACATGACTAAGCAACTTTATTTGTTGTCGAAGTGAATGGATTATGTTGCAAGTACTCATATGTCTCAGTTCATAGTCTAGTGATTGGGTACATGTATTGTTCTCTGTTCTGCAAAACTTCATTTAGATTGACACTTTCTATGAACTTGTGCTTTGACTGACAAACATCAGCGTTTCAAGTTTGACATTTCTGGCTAGCAGAACAACTCAGTTTTCTCATCTCATCAATTAGAGTTTAGTAATCAACTTTCATTTAAAAAATGTGTGTCGTATTGCTAACTGAAACACATTATTGCACAAACACGCTGTTATTAACTTTTGCTAGAGTTGGACGCATTATTTCAATGTTGCCGTTAAGTCTAAAACGGTGATAATGAAAGCCAGTTAAGTGCCGCTTGGAAGTCGATAATAAAATGTTGTGCTTTTTCCCAAACTGCACTTTAAATTAAACTTATAACCAGGAGAATATTAATAATAGCCTTAAAGTTTGCCACTTTATTGGGGAAAACTACCGGATCACTTGTGAGAAAAGACCAGTAGCGGTTACTGATAGCCAAGATATTCATCACTGAGAATGGTTGTCGTGTGGTGTATTAGTGGTAACGACACTCACTAGGAGGCATGTATATCCAGCTGACGAGTTCTAAATAGGACCAAAAGTGCGTTCTGGACTCCACTGCTAGCCATTATCTACCATAACTATCAGATTGTTGGTTTGCATTACGTGTAGTGGTGTTCGAGCACGTGATGAAGGGGGAGATATACCACTCAACCTACTCCTTGCGTATCATGCGTTTTGAAGAGCCGGCTGGCATTTTAGACACTGTCGGTACCAGATGGATACGTCGGTGTTCGTCTCATATTTTACTTAGACCCTTTTCAAGGATACGATTAACAAAGGTCACGGTTAAAGGTGACGGGTTATCCAGCCTGCAATACTTACTCTACAAACCTACTAAGTTCTCTGAATACAATGTCGCCCCCAGAAATCAGTTGTCTGATATAGTTCCCTTATTGTGCTTTAGTAGTTAAACTGACCTAGCGATGTCCAGCTCGTTTGTTGGGCCAGTGTTAACTCCCGACTGATAGTCGCTACCTTGACTTGGTGGTCAAACTTGTGTATCACAGTGACCCGATGAGCTATGCTCTTAGAATGCTTGTTCTTTCAAGGTCCTATCATACCAGAAAGGTCTATTGGATAGTGGTAAGACGAAAACCAGTCACCGTTGTAGTGCAAATTACTACAATTTGAAAGGGGTCTGATGGCGAGGCTGAACTGCTACCAGTTGGATGAAGTATGACAGCAGTAGGATGTTTGCCTTAGATAATCAACAGTTCCAACACACCCCTATCCACTCACGGTATGCCGATCCTTGACAGATTCAAAAGTAAAAAACCGAAATCATAATATTGCCAAAAGGATGTCCCATGGGCTCTGCAGTTACACATTATCTCTTCTTTTTCAGGTACCTCAAGAAGAACTAGGCTTCCACGGCATGGGCAGCCAGTAAGCGTCAACCCCCGGGATGCTTCCAGGAGCACACAGCATCCAATCAAACATTAGTTTGACCAATACTGTGTCCAAGATCGATGGATCCTTAGTTATCCGACGCCAGCCTTGCCGTTAGACCCCTTTCAAATTGTAGTAATTTGCATTACAACGGTGACTGGTTTTCGTCTTACCACTATCCAATAGACCTTTCTGGTATGATAGGACCTTGAAGGAACAAGCATTCTACGAGCATAGCTCGTCGGGTTACCGTGATACACAAGTTTGACCACCAAGTCAAGGTAGCAGCTATCGGTCAGGTCTAGGGTGGAGTCACTGAACTGGCTGCATGGTGTGTGACAGCAGACGTGTCTGACATTGGTAACCAACAATTTATGTTGGTGCTATCTTCCGCCGTAGGGTTGGTGTGTTGGTAAACGTCCACCTGGCTAAGTACAATAGTCTCTTCCCTGTGGTCTTCCGATGTCGGTGGTTTGGTCTTTCTTAGCCCACGTAATCTTAAATTCGAAACTTCCAAGAGGGCCGCGTGCTATTGGCCTCACAAATATCTCTTGGTTTCTGCGGTCATCCAAATCAACCCGCGGCATGCTCAACCGAAATGTAACAACCATCCTTTAATCTCTTTTAGCACTCACTTTTCCTCCGGTCTTCAGCAACCTTCCACATCTTCGCATTCTTTCTTCACTTGTGTCTCATCCTACCGTCTTCCATTTTATTTAATCTGCGAAAATGGAGGGAATTATAACTCACTACCTGACAATCACATGGCAGCCATTCATTAGCACTATCAAGTCATTACATCACGCAGTGACTTTTGCCTGCTTGATTTCTACTCTTGGCTCGTCTATTTTCCCTTAAATAAGCTATGAAACCCACCCTCCGAAAGACTATCCATATCCGTATTCAATGTGAGAACGTGGGCATCCATATGACAGAACTTCTGGAACTCAGCACTTTGGTCTCCAAGAAGCTGAGTTACATGCGCATACCACAACTCAAAGCCTCGCGATTTCACTATAACCCAAAGAAATATGGTGGTCAAAAAATCGTTCTTTGAGGTCCTTTCATGCTAGTAATGTCCTTTGGTTAGTGGTAGTGTGGTGAATGTTATGTATGTCAGTAGGTATGTATAACGAAGTTGGAAATCACAAAGAGTGATAACACTCTCTTGGTAAAGGTTTTGGAAGGAAGAAAGCAGCCTAGTAAATACAAATATGGCGGGTCACAATGCTTTACGCTGAGATGCCGCAAAGAAGAATCTTTGTGTGTGTCAATACTGATTTTAATTTTCCACTAAACACTCTTTCCTGCTCGTTTGGATTCCTCTTAAGTGGCACTAAAACCATTCATCATCAGAATGCAAATAATAATAGTTCATTTTATAGTAGGAGTTCTAAAGAAAACAATAACCCCATAGGTAACTGGTTTCAAGCTGAAGTCTCTTTCGCTCTGTGGCCATGCAAAACTAAACCACGTTTTCTTTCAGCTTTCTCATAACACCAGTATGCATAATTGAGACAGAACTATCAACTACTCTGACAAGTAAACATACCTGCTGGTGTCCAGCAGCTGCAAACTTTATTAAACAGAAGGTGGCATTCGATTCTTTTAACCGATAGGTATTGTCTCATTGTCTGACCATGAAGCAGTATCCTACAGTAATTTATCTGCTGATCAAGGCTCCCCACTCGAGTTAACGCAGACGCGTAATCGCTAACAGAGAGTTATCATTTGAGGTAACGTTAAAGGGTAGTGTTTACCAGAGATGTCGACTGTTACCACTTTCGTCTACTTTTGTTTCAAATATACTGATGCGTATGGCCATACAAACCACTTACTCCTCAGAACTATGGAACCAGTTTATCACTTATGTTGAGGTTATGTGTATAGTACTGAGCAATCTAAACAAGTTAGTTCGAACGTTTTGTGTATGCCAATCGACCACCTGCCTTGAAGCGCTATGTTTGACTACGCAGGATTAAATTGAAAGGAAGATAACGTCATTTCGTAAAGTTACTGAGTTTTTGAGCTGTTTACATTACTCATCTGTGTTGTATCCCCCCTACACAAGAGGAATAAGAACAACAACCAATCACTAGCAGGCGGCCTGAATTTTGCTATCTTTTGTTTGCTTTCGTCGATATTCTAAGTTGTTTATCATTTTAAGACCTGCACATTTTTGATGTTATTTTTTAGTTACACTATTAATCATTGTAAGCTAGTAGAATACACTTATCTTCTCTCTTAATCAGCTGGTGTGACGTTAAGCGTAGTTGAAATAAATCCACTCACAGCAACCCGGAACCATAAAAGTATTTTTAACCTGCATTCTTGACTTCCCTCATATCATAAATCACAGAACGGAAGAGGCCAACAGTCGAAGTTATGACCAGTCACAGTAGCTATACTGTCAGGTCAAGAACATAACTGTCCTTGATCATCGAAATTATGGAAATTAATTATTGGAGTTTCTCGTTGATTTCTCGAAATCGCTCACAATGGCGCAGATGTATGCAATGTTTGTCATCTTAATTTTGCAAACTTTTATTTCTTTATTCTCTCTTCCCTCTCATTCATTTCTGTTTATTTTAATATTATTCTTTTCCTCCCCACATCGTCTTTGTGTGTTGCTGTCAAGTATAGTGTCTTAGACTGATGCAATTCGGTCCTAGATTCTACGTTGATCTGTCTTTCTGTTTATCCAACATACGCTTCTAATCTTTTAGGACTGTGAGGAACAGCCGTTTCAGTAAGCATAGATAACTCGTTTCTCGCGATTGGTTGACCTGATCCACCATGTCAAGATATCAGCTATCGATTGAAACTTGATGGCGAGGTATTGATAAATAACTACGCTGCATCAGTGATGTACATTTCCGTTTCACTAGAAAGTGAGCTGCACAGGTTGTGTGAAGGTTATTATGACGCTGTTTAGTTTTTCATTTTTTTATTAAATGAAACTAAGTTTGGTTCGTATTCAAATTCCTACTCCAGTGTACCACCGCTCTATATCTGTTAGCAAGGTGGCACTAAGAAATCTTCTAAGTCTCATATCTTTTCTAAAACTACCAATGTAAGTTTTGTGAAAATCGCCGCTTCATCTCTAAGTGATGTAATACTGTCCCCTATCTGCGATACACTTGCTTTTATCTTCAATTTGTAGCATAATCGATGTGTTTAAACGTAATAGAAATTCACATGTAAGGAAAAAAGTAACACGTCTATGTATTGTTTCCCTTTTAAGGTTTTAATCGAAATGCAAGTATTCAGGACTCTGTCCATCCAACAAATAATCATCAAGACACTTCTACTACATCTACAATCCATGTCGCACCAGTACTGCGGCCAAAACCTCCCAGTTCACTGACAAATATCAATGTTCTTCAAGGAGTAAATTCTGGGTTTTTTCTGATATAATGTTTGTTAGTTGTACGGCTGTTATCAATATAAAAGTAAAATTTGGGGACTGTGGTGATATAAAAGGATGTCTGCACATTGAAGTAAAATTTTCTTCCGTTTTACGTTTGTGCTTCCATTTTAATTCATTTATTGGATGTATCACCTTGTGGAACAGTATGATTTACTGAATTGCGTTTCCAACACAATTTATCGTCCGTGGTCATATCAAGCCTCGGTAGCTTAGTGGGTAACGCTTTTGCATTTGGAGCGATATGTACTGGGTTCGAGTCTCAGTGGTAATAACACCACTCACTGGGGTGGATTTGCATCCAGGTGGCTAGTCCAAAATAGGACGAAACAGGCATCCTGGACTTCACGGCTAGTCACTAAGACTAATGCAAACATTCTCTTATATTACCACGATGCCCAAATTTTACTCTTACATTAATGAAACCTTCTTTTGCTTTTTGAGCCTGTTGTAATTGCAAGCAGAATCTACAGATTTGTGTATAATAATGTCGAATATCAATCAATATTCAAAATGTATCAGTCCCCACAAACCATCGATTGCTCAGTATTTATAAGTGGCTTACTTCAAGACTGGTTTGTTGTGTAGTTAGGATTTGCTGCCACGTTCCGATTCCCTGAATGAATTTCACTGAGTCAGTAAAAATAAAGATATTTTTGTACGTGTTCCGGATATTCAAACAATGTGTACTAACTAGGATTAAAGTGTGGTTAAAGGCTGGTGCTATGAAAATCAAGCAAAGAGGTTGCATGATGATGTCGTTAAAAGTATTTAATGTTTCTTTAAATATCATCTGGTAAATAATTAGCTCCTCGATGCTTCAAAGAATTACAGAATTACCTGAAAACTTTCGAAGTCGATCATTGTAGGCCGAAAATTTGCGGAAAGCCGTGTGTTTATACGTTTAAGCTTCAGGTTAGATAATTTAATAAAGTCGATAGGGTATTTCTGACATTCAATGACATCCAGAGCTAAACGTCATCATCGTCTCTGGACAGCTTAGCCTTGTCCAACATGAAGGATTCTGGATCTAATTCATAAAGTTGTTAATCGGTTTCATATACTATGGTCTTTTTCTCTTCTGTTTCTTTCGGAGCGTTATTCACATAAGTGAAAGGGCGAAAAAACGTCCGGCGTTTATCATCGGACTCGTGGATACTGAGGGTCCACCTAGAAGAGTTAGGAAACTCTGATTCCAAAGTAATGGTACTCATGGGCTACAGGTTCTAGATGGGACGAATGGCTCATGAACCTATTTCGACCACCGGCAACCATCGGAATGCAGCTCCTGATGTTGCTCCACTGTCTTGTGGATTAGGCTTTTAAGTTAGGCTTAGTGAGTAGTGGTCCTTGAAGACAACCACCTAGTTCGATCTGGGTGTCCGGAGTATATCTAAGCCCTCACATAACGTATGAAATCACAATATACATCACAGATTTTGAAGCGCTCACGCGTTTCTGGAAATGTGCCAGCCTTCTGCACGGCGAAGACTTTAACTAATTGTTCATTTTATTACTATTATATTGTTTTTGTTGCTTTTACATGTGAGTTGTATTTTTTTTTACTATCACCATTTTATCGTGTGTCTCTATCTTCACTTCACTCAGCTGGTCTCCATTGCTGAGACTTCTGGTCTGTTTGTACCATTTTGAGTCGCTAAAGATGTCCTCCAGTGCGACATCTGACCCTGTTATCCTGAAACCACGTGAACCTTTTAAGCTTGCCATCTTCAACGTTCATACCTTGATGCAGATCGGACAAAACACAGGTTTGGCTAGGGCTTTGGAAAGCCTCGCTATTGATAAATGCTGCACTCAGAGACCCACACACAAGATCCGACTGAAGTGCTTCGAATTAGTTCCCCATCTGTTAGCTCGAAAAATGTATTTCATTTGCGCTTATCCAGGAACCGTGTAGCATCGAGAACCGGCCTCTCTGATGTCGATGTCGATGTCGCAGTACTCGAATGAATCCTCATCAATAGTTATTCATGTGGTGTTGAGCTAGAAGGTTCATCTCGAGTTAGGAGTAACCGGCAAGAGAAACGATGTCTCTTTATCATTTCTGCCTATGCTGCGACGGAATACAGCCCGGTTGCAAACAAGGATGAATTCTATCATCAACTAAGCGACCCCAACCAAGTGTGCTCGACAGATATCGTAGTGCTAGCTGGGGACTTAAACGTTCAGGTCAGACGTCTAGGCTCAGAGGAGAGTCCTCCTGTTAGCCAGTGGGGACTAATTGGCTGCAGCTGGGATAATAGGGATGGTCTTCTGCAGCTTTGGCATAACACAACCTATTTCTAGCCAGCACCAACGTTCGACACTGCCATTGTGCCACTTGGCGTTCTCTTTCTGCCACTCGAGCCTGGACTCAAATAGATCATATTGCAACTGTCTACCGATGGCGTGGGTGCATTTATTATTTTTATTATTAGAACAAAAACATGGTACAGCAAGGGCACAAAAAAAAATATAACAGCATTATGAAGACATAAAGTGAAAGGAAGAATAGAATGAATTGTAGGACAGTCCAGTTAGATGCATTCAAAAAAAAACATTCACGACTTTTCAGCAGCATAAGATGAAAGAAGGAAGCTACAGTATGACCTCCACGTTTCTGTTTTGAGCTATATCTGATTAACGCCTCAACCCACTGAGTTGCGTTATCTCTCGGACCCTACCCAGGGAGTTATGCTGCAACAACACATGCTAACCCGATACAACTATGCTTCATTCCTCAGCGCTATATCATGCACTCACCACCCCTCCGTTTCTTCTACCCAGTTCTAGGGCTGACAAACAATGAACGGTATGGAAGCCATTGGAACGACATGTGTAATATATGTTTAAGTCACAGAAACCGGTGTTTCTAGATGACTTCACTTGTTGAATAACCATCTCCATCATGCCCAAACAAACTCGTACCTCAGAATTACATACATGGTGTTGCCACCGGACATGAGCAATCCTACAGAGACAACGATGATCAAACACAGTATCGTCACACATCCTCAGCTCAGAGAGGCCAGGTTTCAGGGGCGTAGAGCAGAACTGCTAGCACCGAAGCGTTGTAAACGTGACCTTTTACGGTCAGACTAGCATCGCAACGGCGCCAAAGGTGGCTCAGATTGACGTATGCCGCTCTGGCTTTTGATATTCGGTTAGGAATCTCATCACATATAACTACCCAGATACACGAACTTTTCGACTACTTCTAATGTTTCACCACTGAGGGGTGAGTGCAAGCATAGGTTCCTGCCATTCTTGCAAAAGTACTTTGCACTGTAATGGCGCAAAGCACGTACCGTACTTACAGACACTTGTCGCCAACTAGTTAAATACAACTTGACTATCCTGTGTTATCGCGCGGTAAGACGATATCATATGCATATTGAGGGTTAGATATCCATTTTCCGAGTAGTGGATCTACACCACACCTCCTTCAGAACTGTCTCAAAAGTGCCATCGATAACAAAGTTAAGGAGGGATAGAAAAATTGGGCATCCCTGCCTAACCTGGTTTGGAACAACGGAACAGGTGGTTGAATGCCCTCACTCCTTCTGAGATGTTATTATACAGGAATTTTAAGATGTTGAGAAATTTCTCAGGCACGCCCCTCTCTAACAGACAAATCCAGAGTACGGCTCTGCCCAGAGAATCGAAGGTAGCCTTTAATGTCAAGAAACACAATTATTGGCCCGCAATACGTGTGACGATGTTCAAGCATCTGGTGGGGGTAAACACATGATCAATGCATCCACGACCTGAACAAAACGCGGCCTGCTCCTCGCGAATCATTTCCTCACATGTTTTGCTAAGTCTGCGAAGTATGATAGCAGGCACTATTTTCGACGCAACTGATAACAGACTAATACCCGGATGATTGTCGCATACATTATGTGGACCTTTGTTAAGATGGTCACAACGATGGTTTCATTCTAGGGTTATGGAATACTCAGTCTGCTATACCTTCTGAAACAATGTAGTCAGTTTGATGACTAGAGTCGTTCCTCCATTCTTGGAAAGAGTCAGGGGTAAGTTGTCTGAGCTGGGGGTCTTGTGGCGTTTCAAAACTTAAAATTCACTATGGACCTCGGCTTCGTTAGGTGGGTCAATGTTAACTGATCATTGAGCACAATACACCGAAGCTGACAATGCTGGAGCTGTGGGCCAGGTGGAATGCTTTTCGAGGTGCTCCACTCAGCATTCCAGGCGCCGTTGAAGATTGTTTATCGGTGTACCATCTACCTCATAGACCGTCTCACTACCAACTGACCTCTTGTTGCCAGTGGTTCGAATGAGCTGGAACAGCTTCCGACTATTGCCAGGTGTCATCGCTGCTTCCATCTCACTCGCACGTCCTGACCTCCAATCCTCACGGTCACTGCGTGGACGTTGTGTAATCTTTCGCGTAAGAAACGCTACTCAGTGCGTTGAGGCGTTAATCAGACAGCTGAGAATAGAAACGTGTAGATCATACTGTAGCTTCCTTCTTTCATCTTATGCTGCTGAAAAGTCGTGAATGTTTTGTTTTGAATGCATCTTACTGGACTGTCCTTCTAATTATTCTATTCTCATTGCAATTTGGCTGGTTGTGGCTAGCAGAAGAATGAAGACGCGCATTTCGTCCTGCTTGGGACTCGTCAGCTGGATGTGCCTGCACCCCAGTGATGTTGTTCCCACTGACACTCGAACCTCGTACCCATTACTTCAAACGCCAAGGCGTCATCCACTATGCCACAGAGGAACGATAGCCACTTCTTTTACAGCGGGTGATAGTTATTACTATTTAGTTACATACTTGTTATTCTCCGTTGTTGTTATTGAGGCATCCACATAGGAGTCCATATGAGAATGGATATCGAACAATTCGATCCAACAAAACAACGGAGAATAACAAGTATGTCAATGAATAGTAATATTCTTATTGTGTTTAATTTTTATCCACTTCCTTTCGCTTTATGCCTTCATAATGCTGTTATATTGTTTTTTTGGTGCCCTCGCTGCACCATGTTTGTGTTCTAATAATATTCGTAAGTTGGACAACCTGATGAGTACACGGTCTAAACATTTAAGCTTCTTCCCCCTGTTTTGCTCAGGTTTGTTTATCTCGAAGATTAGACCAACAAACGTTGAGCTATTCGTCAGCTTACACTGGTTGTGGGCACTTTTGTCAGTTTCGCAAGCTTGTTCAGTCACTTAACCTTTGCTTGTCTCTCTCCGTTCTCACTTGATCCAGCTCTCAGTATAGCTTCTAGCAACTCAAGATGATACAGCTATTATGTTTACCACAACCTTGTTCGTTTCATTATCGTAAATACCCTTTCATTTTCCTATCCAGTGTTGCCAAATCTTGATAGATGTATTCACGATTGTAGTTGTTCTGATCACTAGTTATCCTAAACCGCCTGGATTTTTAGTGTGACCGGACGCGCCCTCCACTCGTTATCTGTCTACTCAAGGATGTCATGAGGCGTCTGTTGCAACATAGTCTCTTCGACTACCTCTATAGTAGTCTCCATATTCAGGGTAGCATAAGTAACGATGAAGATTTCACTTGTGTAAGCTATGTAGCTCGGGCAACTTCTTGTCGAGTTCTGGTTTGACGAAGTAGCTAACCCTTTTGGTGAGGGTCCTCCGAAAAGCTTGCACGAAGTAATTATCTGGGAACAACTCTGCCTCCTTGGACACTCGGTTATTATTTCTTAGACAGTGATCAAAACTGATGAACTTGCTTTCTTTGATAATCGCACTTTCACCTCCAGCGGTCCGCTGTTCTCCTTGGTCCCATAAACTACAAGCTCAGTCCGCCTGCCTGCTTCCACATTCGCTCAATAATCTGTTACCGGCTGAGAAACACCTACCTTGCATATATTTAAATGTATCGCTTCTGCGGGTCATTTCCTGCCATCAATTCCTATAGATCCTGCAGAAACCCAGCCTTTAGGGTAGCCCAAAACAATTGGTTCATTCATTCTAGTTTGAGATCAGCATCCCTAACTCGTCGTACGGTTTTCACTCTGTTTTCGTGGGATGCAAAACTGCATCCCCGTTGACATACCGAAATATACTGCTCCTCTTTTCACTCACCAGCACTTCCATATACTGCTTGTGCCACTGCTAGAGTAGTGTAAATTACTACTGCAGAATCATCTCCTGACAAAGGCGTGTTGAGCAGGATTTGGAGAAGGTGGGTCGTGACCAACTCGCATTCCTCCGACTTTAGACTTTGTTACGTAATAACTTGGTCAATGACCCTGCATATTGGTACGTCTTTCGCACCATTCTACCAGTCACCGCCATGGGTTTTCAGCCGTGAAACACTCTTTCTTTGAAATCATTTCGGCTATCGAATCTGAGTAGACGCGCAGTCATCATTTCATTTCCCTACTCTCCGCTGGTGTTCGCTCTGCTAAATATTAGTTCCTGGACTTGGACGCATCCTCACTTGATGCAACCTGATTATATCCGCGTTAACACTTGAAAAATGACCTTCAGGCTCCACTTTTGATGGTTGCCTAATTCCTCGGAATAAAGATCATAAGACAACAGGTGTATTGGAACTTCAAAATGTGTACAGAATACAGCGGTTCATTGACTTTAAAATGACTTCGGCCATTTCCATGCCTTTCTAAAAGAATATTCTCTATTGATCTTGTCTCTTAACCCAATATGATATTCACACGTATTATTATATCTTTTTACGAAACCTCGTAGTATACTGATTAGTTGTGGAGGATTGTGGTCATCCTGAGCTTGCCTGAGGGACCCAAACATTTATAATGGACAAATGCTGTAGAGTTTTAAGGAGCAGAGGTAAGTCAGTTGACACGGTTGTGAACCTTCATCGACTAAGATGGTTGGGACATGTGCTGCGCATGCCTAGTTGCCGTCTACCTCTTCATACAATGTTGGGGGAAGTAGGTTCAGGCTGGAAAAAAGCTCGAGGTGGCCAGACTAAAATATAACATCAATCTATGAAGTCATTGACTGTTAGTTTGTGTCATGTGGGGCGGTGCAGATCAGCCGGTTGGAGTCCGCGAGACAAGAGGAACCAGTGGTTGGAGACTAGGTGATATGGCTCAGAACCGAAGTCAGTGGAGCAGATGTATACACACATTATCCTCATCTTAACGACGCTATACTGAATCTCAGCATTCTCTCATTCTTCCTTTCTCTCTTTTCGTACTTCATATCTCTTTTGACTGAGTTATCTTATCTTCATCTTGCAGTACACTGTCTTTTTACTTGGTGTAGTGATATGAGTTGTGGCAACTCGGACCGCTACGCAGTAATGTTGATGATGATGAATACTATCTCTCTTTTTGATATGTCTGGTCAACAAACAAACATGAAAAATGCCTCTAATTCTAGACTTTTCGTTCGATTATCCCTTTTAATGGTACTCTTAAGGCAATTGTAATCTCACACATATTCTTTTCCGAAATGTCCTTTGAGTGTGTGATGGAGGGTTTTATAGTAGGATTCGTGATGTCGAAATGACTAGGAGCATGGTCACTTAAGACTGGTTAAAGAGTTAACGTAGTTTCAGTTCAACGTCTACGTATATATACATCTGTACTCTTTAGGCAAATGAAGGAGTTGAAAATGATATTGCACGGATTGCTTAAGCTGTGTTAACTTGGTATCTTCTGAATGTTGTTGTCTAATTAATGAGTCATTCTCAGTGTATATATGCAAACAGTTCATATTATGAAGCAGTGGAGTTGAACTGTTACTCAGAATTATTGTTTTAGTCGTGTCATATTTTCAGCTGAACTGTTTATCGGTTGGTCGCAAAGCAAAATCAGTTGGTACAAATTCCCAACCGTTTTTATCAGTCAGATCCTTTAGGTATCATTAACATACATGTTAACATCATTAAACATCGATTCAAATCGTTACATCTTACATCAATAGACAGATCAAAAGGTAATAAGATAAAAGGGTTTAAGGAGAACAAGAGGGGTAATTATGAAATGAAAGTAATATACTCAGTTTATATTGAAAGCCAATAATGTGGAAGAGGATGAGACCAAGCAAACGATAAGATTTTATATAATGATTAGAATGAAAATAGACTTTGAATTCATATGCTCCACTGAGATAGATTCTAAGCTACATCATTTCAAGTCTTCAACCATCAGACGCGGTTGTGTCACAGATATCAATCTAGAGGTCTAAAATGTCCTCAGACTCGTAGTAATTGTTAATGGGAAGAAGAGGTTGTTTGTGTCTCTTACACATTGACATATAGCATGTAGAGCGATGGCTCAGTGGTCTGTTCATTAATTCACCAACCACTCTGTTGCTTAACCACCTACTTTGACCTAGGTGAACAAGCGATGTAACTAGCTTTCATAAATAATATGCAAGGTACATTTTCTTATTTATAATTGTTAGAGAAAGACTTTTGGTCTTTGTAATTGCATCCAATTCCCTGTTGCTATTCTAGTTCGACACAGTTTCTGCTTAAAACTTCTTGAAACTGTCTGATCAAAGATAAATCAATTTATAGAATGATTTTAATATGCACTGTTTTATATCTCCTCTTACATCTCTTTTCGCTATACTACTTATGTTTCCCCAATAGAAAGCTTCTTTTCCTCGTTCCGAAAAAATCCAATCAATTCACGACGAAAGCATGAAAACACCAGCAGCAGCAACAGCAATAACATTCAACAGTACCTTCAGCACCACCAGCAAACCAAATCAAATCAGTAGCATACCATCTAATAACTGCACAACTCAGGATCAGCATGCACTCTATTTTGAAGCATGTACAAAGGCAGCCAGAACTATCATTTCCAAAGAAGTAAGTGATGCTATAGAAGCTGATTGTTTTGATTTACTTCTTATCCTGTTTACGTTTGTTTTAAGGATGACACTTTGTATAGCTTCAGCTGACCCTGGTTAAAATCAGTGCTATTCCTTGTTAGACTTACCTTTCTGTGGTGTATATAAGAAGAGTATGGATATCACTACTAGATATTTTTGTAACTCATTTCTTTTACCATCGTCTTTTTCTTGACTTATTACTTTGGAACCAGGGTTTTCTAAAACTTTTTGCTAAACGTTTCTCACCAACTATCCTTTTTTAAACACAGGACAGCTATTTTAAGAACACATTCATCAATAGCTGCCTACGCCCGATACTGAAGATCAGATGGCCAGAGTAGTAGGAATAAGCAACAAGGAACTCTGGCTGGTTGGCAACGAACCAACCAAGAACCTATCACCCAACAAATATGCAGGAGGAAGTGGAGATGGATTGGGCATACACTGAGAAGGTCGACTGGGGACATCACGTGCCAGGCCAGGCCGTCGAGTGAAATCCAAAGAGGAAACGACGAGTTGGGCATCCGAGGTGAGGGTGACATGGAGGATATCATGTAAGGAAGAAATGAAAGCTTGTGGGCAGTCATGGAGCGAGGTGTAAAAGACTGCAGAGAAGAGTATACAATGGAGGTGTGCTACTGAAGCCCTGTTCCACTAGGAACCCAAGGGACAAACAATAATAATAATAATAATAATAATAATAATAATAATAATAATAATAATAATAATAATAATAATAATAATAGACTTTTTATCGTTCAGGAATGAATACATTTAAATGTAGAATAAATTTCTATTCACTTCAGACTTGTTAAAACAGAATCAAATTACAAGTACAGAGTATTCAGCTGTAGATGTATTGTTAAATAACCGGGAGTTTGATTCATTTCGGAGGTGGGGCCGATCTATTTCAAAGTCGTATTCATCCCAAACAGCGACATCGTGGTGCATATTGTTGGTTACCATAACAGGATGGGGTAGTTGTTCAATGCTCGTAGGTTTTCAATAGCCCTCCAAATGAAGTTCTGTAGTGAATACTACCTTAAGAGTTTAATATCGAATTCATCTGTGCTGCTAGTAATATGGAAATGCTGAATTATAATACAAATTTTATGTTGCATTTTATCTATTCTAATCTACAACGTCTAAACTACGCTTGATGTAGCGAAACTCATTGAATCACATTGTTGAGAAAGTTGAAACATTTCCTTTTAAGACGGCAAAAACAGTCTAGAACCTGGTACATAGTTCAAGGTGTCACACTTTGTAACAGCATTTAACAAAAAGCTGATAGAAAAGAAAGCAGTATTGAAGTAGATATGAGAAGACAAGAAAAGTCATTGAAAACTATTACACATGTTCGCTGTTTTGACCATTTTTGAAAGTCGAATACCACGCTTTAAAGCAGGTGGTCAGTTGGCATGCACACTACTTATTCGGACCACCCCAATCAGCTCAGGTATACAAAATTGTCAACCAACTTATTTTCCTTGCCTATTACTCTACACAAGACCTCAACATTCATGACATACTGGTTTCATAGTACTGGAGAGTTAGAGTTGCGTACAGTCATATCCGTCAGTACATACAAAGTTGGATATAAGTGATGACAGTAGGTTTCTCTGGCAAACTCGAGAGATCGATGGGACCTTAAATTATGACTATCTGTTAACTCTTACACGTCTGTGTGAGTTCGAGTGGAGAGCCTTGATCAACTCTTAGCTAATTGTGGATACTACCTTCATAGCCAGACGCTGCAACGACACCTATGGGTTAATATAATCGAATTATGGCCAGTTTTGATCACCTGAGTGATGCCTATGTATGAAAACCTATCTTATAGTGAAGATCTGATCGCTGCACCCTCGAACGGGTCTAAAGTCTGCCTGGTTCTTACGAACTGTGGTTAGTTGTCGGGTGTCTACAGTCCCTAATTTTTAGACATGCTGTTCGTCAAACTGGCTTCCTAGTGTTTGTTACACATGGACATTCTATTGAATGTACTGGGATTATCAGGGATTTAAACTAGTCTCACAACCTTACATCTGGTTTCCATCCGCTACCCACTACCTCTGTCACTCGACTTCATACTTCCTTAAGCAAATCTGATGGCAAATCGTCAGGTCCTGGTTATCTGCTTTACTTCACTTTTGAAACTGCCCTTTTAACTTCCAGAAGAGTCGAAGGACCAAGATCCACGTTTGGTTCAGAGTTGGGCTGTTTGTTGGATAACTAATGGACTTGTGTGAAGCAGTTAAACTGTTCTTCAAAGTGTTCCACCCAACGTTCTAGCCACTTATGCTGAGAGGTTATCGGGTTCCTGTCCTTTTCGGTGATGGTCTCACACACTATCTTCTTCCCCTTGGCAGTATCCTTATTAGGCCTAAATAATTCGCGGGTATTATAAAATGTTGATGTTTTCACCATCTCATTCGCCTTCGCCACCCACCGCTGTTGGCAGTAATAACAGAAACTCTTGATCAATTTACGTTTGAGCTGCTTCACCTATTCATTATATTCAGCCGGGATCAGTCAGTTTGAATAAGGCTGTGAAAGTCGACTGACCTTTGTTAACCTTCGGATGAAGGTTACCAACTGTTCTTACCGCCGTTTTACAGTTAACTGAATACTTAACCAGGTTTCATCAGGAGGAAAGTGCCTGCTATGTTCAGCTAAGTGCGTCTTTTGATAACCTTTGTCGGTTCGTTGGCACGGTATACCGTAAATGCTTCCTGGATACCTTCCCTGTTGACGCAGCTTCCCTGGTTGAACTTTAAAGTTGTTGTGGCTACATCTGAAAGTCTTGCTGTATTTAGGGAAATTGACATCTTGCAATAGAATTCATTCTTTGTGTCATGCAAACTGCAGTCGATAGGTACGTTGTCGGAGATTATGAATATGCGTCTGTAAGTTTCATGATCCTTCATAGTTCTCGCAGATCCATTCAGTCGAACAGCGTATGGATGGCTATTAACTGGCATTAAGTCAAGAAGGGCACCTTCTCTTCTGTAGCCAGTTCATAGGAACCGGTTTGTGAATCCTTGGACACTCACATTTACCACTTCTTCCAGTTGGTTTTAAGTGAATAACCACGTTTGAATCTGAGAAACTCAGCATACCTCCACAACTGGAAATTTTTGGAGTTTCGACATGAGACACTTATAGTCCGACTTGGCATATGAATTCAGCAGGGTGCTTTTAGGAAATTGGGATTGGTGTTTTGTTGGCTTGGATAGTTGTCATAGACAACACTGACATCACGAATTGAAGGTAGGCATGGAGACAAAGATAATAAACGAAGGTTATGGCTATTCGGCTCTTGCACGACTCTAGAAGTGTTCAAATTTTATAGCTGCTCACACAGTGAACTTTGCCTTTTCAAGGTACATGAAAGAGAGTAAGGAAAATGTTTGTGTGACTGCAACACCTACAGGACATCTGCTTGAGGCCTGCCAAATTCAGATTTTTGAATATGTTTATTGGGGATTTAATTGTTCCAGCGCTGGATAAGAAAGGCCGATACCACCGACGCTGGGAAACCTCAGAATATTATGGAATGGGTTATTTTTTGGGTTGACCTTTTCTGACTCCTCCTCCATCTTACCACACGGAAGGTAGCATCACTACGGTACTTCTGGTCATCCATGAAAATGCTGCCACTCCCAGTTCAGCCAGCATTAGGACTCCGCTCTCGGACCAACATCTTAGCTGAGTCATTCACATTCATTCACTACTATTTGTCTTAACAACAAACCTTTCTGTTGTGATAGAACCTCCAGGAGCTTATGTTCTAGCCAGTGTAGCTCGTTGCATCACTGTGATATGCAAACCTGACCACCACATCAAGGTAGCAGCTGTCAGTTGGGAGAGATAGTGTGTGCTCTTTTACGGTCTCGACCACCAACGCAAGTGATCTAAAACTCTGAAACTGATCTTTTTATCCCAATAATGCTAATGAATGCGTCAACCAGACTTACTAAAACTCATCCCTTCATGCCTAGTCTCGCAGAAATCACTTCTCAGTTTGTTACTGCAACAACTCCAGGTTTGATCATTATTGTCATTATTGTTGACGTTTATGCATACAGCTGATACTTGATGCTGTGATTCTTCCACTTATTTGTTGAAAATTTTTATTACTTGGCCTTCTCTTCTCACTGGTACCACTTAAACTCATTAGCTAACTTATCACTTCGACTAATTCTCTAATGTCCATCAGTTTCGTCGCGTTCACTAGCTGTAAGCTCACTTTCTGCAAGCTATCAATCCAGTAATAGTGGTTGAGACTCTTCATTCAAGTTGGGCAGTTTTTTACGCATCAGATTTGTCAACGTCACTACCAATATCAATATATTCCGAACTTCGAATAGATGTAAAAGCTTAATATCTATGTGTTTTGATTTGATACCATGCCACTAGTTGTTTGTTCCGACAATTTTAGACATATACTGTATTCATGTCATCCAAAAATACTGCTTGTAGATAATCTCGATTCGTCTAATGAAGTGGTCTATTTTTGAGAACTCTAGTTCATAAAACTCTCCCTCCTTTTTCTTGTTTAATTTTTCCAGGTTTATTCAGGCTATACAGAGTTACTACACATTAATGCGGCTGTAAGAAATTTATTTCTTGCAAATTTCGCGAGTATATTTCAAGATTATGAAAATTTCCTAGTGTTGGATAAGAGTTTCGGTGAAAATTCAGGTGATAATTGTGAAAATATTTGTTCCGGTCTACAAGTATTTGATAAAGTTGGCTTCTTAAGTGATCAGCCAGAGACGCATTTACCATTTTTAAGTGCATTCCTAGAAACACAAATGTTTGCTAGCTTTTTAGACTCGCGTATCAACTGGAACAATTTATTCAATAGTTTATCAGACAGTCAAGCTATTCAATTCACCAATTCACCTCCAATGCATTTAACTGTTTTCCATCTGTTATTGTCGAAATCGCGCAATGATAGAAAGGCAATATTTTGCCATCACGCCGGTGATAGCGATCGTTCTACTACTACTACTACTACTACTACAACTACTACTATGGACACAACCGGTTCGCCAGACAACAATTTTTATAATTATGTACTCGGTTATCAACAGAAACAATGCAGGACAACTGATTCACACTTTCCCGATTTTAATTCCCAGCCAATTTTCGATAATTTTAACAATCGGATTAACGATGGTTAGTTAACTTGTATGATTAGTGCTTTTGCAGATATGGCGTGTTTATTTTAAGTGCTTCCTTTTTATGAGAGTTAAATACCATAGTTTCTAGGTGCTTTATGGATAACTGAGCAATGAAGTGGTGATGTATCATGTATTAAATATTACGGGTGTGAAGGCCTACGATACTGTCAAGCTAAAAGAAACTGGAATGGTAAGAAGGTGTTTAACTGTCCACTTCTTCACTCCACCTTCAAGAGTATGGGCCATCTCTTGGTGCTCCCATATACTAAGTATTTTTGTGTTTGAAACATGTAAATAGAATAGAGTCAACTAAGTAAGGCTTTTTTTTCAAGAATCTCACCTATATTTTACTTTATCTGATCACTGTATTTACTTCCACTGCAAACATAATGAGATGACTAATTATTGAATTGTCGAATGTTCTACATCTTAGTCGGATGGATGCAATCAGCCGAAAGCTCTGGATCTAGATTTCTTGCTTGCTGGCACTCGTCAGCAAGGCGCTTCTGGTACATTGAGGGAACTGATGTACCCCATGAGATTCCAACCCACATCACCCATTGTTGCAGTCATCGACGTTACCGCTGAGCTATTCTGACTGCTACTGACCTGTAGGACTGGGTTAGGTACTTCGATTAGTCACTGAAAGGATAAAAAATCAATGAATATTCCACAACTTCCGTATGCATTAGAGTTTTGAAAACTTTAACTAGTTAGTTAATTTTGCCAACTTACAGTAGATACGGATGGGGAAAGTAATGATTGTCATATTAAGATATAATATCAATCCATGAAGTCGTTAACCGTGGGTATAAGCTTGTTGGTTACTGCAAATCTATTAAGAAAGTCCTCAGGAATCGCAAAAATAATGATTGAAATAGTTGAGTAAAACTGTCTGAAGCCTATGCTGATTGTGCAGATGTGATCGCCAGTCATACTCCATCTGTATCTTAACATACTATTAGGTTCATTTGTCGTTTCCTAGCTATTTGTCCTTCCTGGTTCTCTTCGAGTCAAGCTTGCTAATTTTTCAGAGGATCGACTGTGTTCAACATCTATCGAAATCAGATATTTTAAAAAAGTCATTGAAAACAAAAACTGTTTTGTTTCAGCCTGGATTCCTCAGTAGCTTGTATTTGCAGCCGTAAACGAGATCAAGGTGAGGACTTTGAGCTGTTGCGACAAACACTTTATTTCCTTGATGTTCAAGTGTCCCAACTTCAACTGAGCGATCATATATCATAACCATCGTCCAATACCATCTCTGTTGATCCATCGTCGCACCTAACGTTTTTTGACTTACACCCAGAATTCATCTGAAAACCAACTACCAAAGAACTATGGAATTCGATAGTGTTCCGTTGTGTTTCACTAAAGAAATATCTTCCCTACCTCAAGTACTTAGTTTGCGTTGTAACAGTCTATTTTGTTCCATTGCATCTCAATGATAAATGGATGTTAACATTAGATAAAATGAGTCACGGTTGTTTAGTCACCCATGTGTTCATGGTATCGTTCTGGTTTCGGTGAAACAATTTTGAGATTATGATTACATATCAACTGGAGGATTTGAACTATTTTGAACTACCACCTATGTGACCACGAGATGTCAGTTGTTGCAAGTAATGCTGAAATGCAAAATTACTGGATTTTTTTGGATTTTCATGAGGATATAGGCTTCCTAGTAATAGGAAGTGGTTTAATTGAAAACCAACATTTTAAGTCATCAGCCGTTAAGGTAGCAGTTTTTGAATTCAACTTTTGTTTCATGTTACTGTATGGCCAGGAAAAACCTTATTGGACAGTTTATCTTACAGTTGATCAGTTGAAATAACTATCCAATCTTTGACCTAACCGTTTTATATGTTCATGAAAACTGTATATAAATGATGTATTTTTTTCGAATAAAGTGTCTTCCTTACAGTCACAGGCCACTCTCTGTTTTCTGATTTTCGTGGCTCAATGAAGTATAAAGTTCTGAAGGCGAACAGTCGCTATTTGTATCCAGTTTAAGTGTCTCATCACGTTATTATCGTTTCCATATTATTATTATTATTATTATTTACTCGGTCACTTCATCTACTTGACGTTAATGTGATCATAGCTACTTTCGCTTTTTATTCCAGTATAGTTGCTGAATGTTTGGGTATGGTGTACTTCATTTTCGCCCGATTTATTATTGCAGTTCTCTTGATGTATACTTATTATTACTTATGCATATTTTTTTTGTGGTTTTCCTTATCCTAGTCATAGCGGTGGTGTAACATGCTCTTTTTTGTTCCGGGCAATCTATGTATATGATTATAGTATGGGGTTGGTTTGGTTTACTTCGCAAATTTGGTTTGATATGTTAAAGAATGGACATAAGTCAACTTTATTTAGTGTACTTTTTCTCGTAAATCTTTTTTTCTGATTTCAGAACCCTTACCAGATTTGCTTTATGATATCAAAACAGAGTTGAATGTCAACAAAACCAATCATCAACTGTTGTATATGTTACCTTATAATTCTTCAAGTGTAACACCAACGACTAATGATGGTATTGTCCAGTATGGTAAATTTCCAACATTGAGCAGTGAGCTACTACGCTTTTATTCGCCAGATTCACAAATGATGATTGCAGATAGTCATCAGCAAAACATCACACCAAATTGTCAACAGCTTTTTTCAAATATTAAACATTCTATTAGAAACGACAGTTATAAATTACAGAATAATAATAATTCATTAGCACATAGAAAGTGTACAACTGTTTCTGGGAATCATTTTCATAGTGCGCCACAATCAGATAAAATTGGCCGACATATATCTCTTCCAGCTAGTTCAGGAGTTATATCACCGCCTAATCGATTGAATAATCAAATCGGTTGTATGTCTACACCAACAAAACGAGTGGCCCCGTTATCATCTATAATCAATACTATGAATACTGATGTGTTGCATAATTTGAATAAACCAGATACTAAGGTAGGGTCATATTAGGTATATAATTTGACTAAATATAAAGAAAGCGTATAAAAGCTTATCGTGTTAAAATTATACCATTTTCAGTTTACTTATATGTATAAATAACATGTAAAATGATTAATCGTAGAATTTTTTTCTGTGCACAAAAGAATCACCATTTTGTCCTATTTCAATGCCCCTTTTTTGGCCTAACTACAGCCTATGCTGTTCGGTAGCAGATAATTTTCGGTTAACATAAACCCTAGTAAGAAATAACGTGTTACAAAGTAAATGTTGAAAGTTCCATAAATGAGATATCTCGCAACCAATGATACGTTTGAATAACGTTGAATGAATAAGTAACGGTAACTAACTGAAGATTCACACTATTCAGAAACTAAGAGGATTTTGAAACCAGTTATAAGTTTTCTAGCCTGATTAGTGAGTTTCCTTTTGATCAAATGAAACGATCTCCTAATCATGTACGTCAACAGTTGAGTTATCAGTTACTCATTTCACCATCCTCATAACAGTTACAAGGAAATTATATATATATATATATATATATATATATATATATCATCCAATCCAATAATGAATTACTTCCTACTTCTGTTATTTGCAGTATGGGGACGTAAGTTGCATATTACCTAAGGATGAAGCAGTTCAATTCATCAAAGTTCTGAGCGAATATAAAACGCACCTAAAAGAAGTAAAAGAATGAGGAGTTTGGAAATTAGAAAGGATGAAATCATCTATTTAATTGTATTCGAGTAACAGCTTCAGCTATGTGTATAGGATGGTTAGAAGTCCCATTCAGAGGGGTTGGATGGAATGTGATCAGTTATTTTCACTACTTTGTTCCTGTGTTTATCATAAGATCACTATCGACCATATAAAGTTTGGCTTTGCATTGACTTCACTTATCTCTTTCCTATCCTTGAAAGCTGATGCTCAAAAGCGTGTCTGTTATGCAATATAACCTCCTACACAGGAGCAGATGACCTGCTAAGCACATCGTAATGACCAAATTTATCTTATTTCCTAATGTGTGATTCTCTGAAGACTTGGGTTTTTCTTTTGAGAAGGCATACTCATGCATTTCGTTCATGTTGGATTCTCGACTTCGTTTTGATATTCTTTACTCCAAGAGTAAAAGCTAGTTGTATAGTATTCTGAATCGTTTAATAGTTCATCACTTCCAGTTACATACCTTTTAACCAGCCTCTAGAGAACATCCTATCATCCAGGACTTATCATATGGTCAGTGAAAATGGAAAATTCACTTTGTAAATGGTAAAACCCTGATCGCATACCGGTGGTTAACATTGACTCCCGAATCGTGAAGAAACTTGTGGCGTGTAAATCTTTTTTCGGCAATTCTGAATCGTACAAATCTATTACTAGATAATTAGTCTGAAAGATTTTATAATATTATTATTGCTATTTTTATCAATAGTGTTTTTGATTAATACTCTTCAGAATTCAATTATACCTAGTGGGAATAATGGCAAGTCGACAACAAATAGATCGTTTATTCATACACATCATCAGTTCGCTGATTTACAACGTAATGGAATGGCTCAGGCGAATTGGGATTTCGTTGATGCGTTGCTGGAAGAATGCAAACACCGGGTAGGGAGAAAGTAATTTTATCTTCTAATTGTCACCAGTTAAATGACTACTTGAATAAAAACATAAATAACTCTATGGTAGGCAATAAAAGTTATGTTATGAAGGCTTTTGTAGTAAGAAGAAAGGAGAATACTGGAAAAGGTATACATATCATTCATGATTTTGTTGGCAAGTTACTGTATGATAAGGAATCTTAGTCACATAAGTTAAACTAAAACTCTCCGTTTAGTAGGATTTTTCAAGCAACCTCTCGTCGTTATGTTTGAAGCAGACATGCCTTCACACTGCAACTTCAATTTTCTAGTCATAAGGTTGTATACTTTATCGACTGTTTTGATATGAACACCTAAACCCGAACAATACCCTTAAATCACCTTTTTGCTTGATTGTTCACAAAAAACGAATCAGAATCAATGATTGCTTCTTTTGACGTGTTCATCTCAAGTTGCAGTGACTAATCCTCTAAGAGATTCATCTACATAAAGCCAACATGGAATAAGCAACTAGCTAGTCTCTATGGCCACATGTCTCTTAGTAGAAAAAGAAATCTAGTTCATTCACTCAAATTTCTTATGTATACAAATACATGTATACATTTATTGCCTAGAATGTACAATCTGGTGAGAAACTCAGAGAAAAGAGATCTGTCTCTGTTTATTTCTCCATTCTCAAATGCAGGCGTCGCCCTATTGGTTGGTATATGTTTTAATATGTAATTTGTTAGTCTCTTTCATTTATTTCTCATGAGATACAACTATAGTCCTTTTCAAAGCTCTATCTGCAGAAAACCAACATTGAATGAAGAACTAACTAATGTTTATTGTTTGATGTCTGTCAGTTGAATTAGAAATCTTAACTACCCTCTGTCGTCAAGTGTAGAATGTCTATTGCACAGACTGTGTTGAAGTAGAATTTTTTATTATTAAGGAGTTTCACTTTGTGAAAACGACTCCTCTAATCATTTCAGTGATAAACACAAATACGCTGAATCAATAACCAATTCTGTTTCATTGATTTCAGTGCTCAAAGATTAATGAACATTAAAACTGCCTAAGAATGGTTTATCTAAGTCAGTCAACATGATGTTCTTCGCAGAGAAAGTTACTTCTAGATGCTGTAGACCATTCTCCTGTCTACATTGATTGGTCACTGAAGAGTGACCCATTTCATGTTATCTAGTCCTGAGCGCGAACCGACTTTTACTGACCAAGCTAGGGGACTCATCATCACAATGCACTTTAATTGATGTGAAATGGTTGCAGGCAATCGACATGAGGCGTTGGACCTACGTATTGTGCTTGTTGGCACCTGTACTTTCCTGATGACTGATGTCCCCTATGAGATTCAAACCTTCATTATCCAGTACTGCAGTCAGAGAGAGACGTTACCAGTGTTAAATATAAACCCCATCATTTGATCACTACCGTGTTATAAATTAGTTCATATGAAGCACACCTCACCAGCCGTAGGCAAAGATTACTTTCAACACACGTGCAAGAACATGTTCCAGCACTACTTTATAAGGTTGAAAGGAGAGCAGTTCGAAACTCTATGTATTGATCCTTCATTCACTTCGATCGTTCAACCAGTTTTATTAATGATTTTGTGATTGTTTATCTAATTCGTCGGAATCATTGAAAATTTTACTTGACCTCTTTTCCCATCATTCAATATTTACATCTAGAATCAAGGGACGATTATTTTCTCGCGAAACGTTTAGAAATATTATATGTACATAGAAATAAGCATACACGAACGTTTATGAATGTGAGGAATGTGAAGTGGAGTCAAAATAATGTGTGTAGCGTCTTATTGGCGTCCATTATGCTATGGTAATCAGCTGTATGGACATGAAAAACTTTTGCAGTATTCGTGATCTCTTATTTGATACATACTCTAAAACTTATTTTGCCCATAGTGATTAGACTCGTAATCGTTTTGAATACGCTCCATATATTATTATTATTGTTTGTCCCTTGGGTTCCTAGTGGAACATAAGGCTTCAGTAGCACACCTCTATTGCACTCTCTTCTCTGCAATCTTTTAAACCTGGCTCCACGACAGCCCAGAAGCTCTCATTCCTTCCTCACATGATATCCTCCATGTCACCCTCACCTCGGATGCCCAACTCGTCGTTTCCTCTTTGGATTTCACTCGACGGCCTGGCCTGGCACGTGATGTCCCCAGTCGACCTTCTCAGTGTATGCCCAATCCATCTCCACTTCCTCCTGCATATTTGTTGGGTGATAGGTTCTTGGTTGGTTCGTTGCCAACCAGCCAGAGTTCCTTGTTGCTTATTCCTACTACTCTGGCCATCTGATCTTCAGTATCGAGCGTAGGCAGCTGTTGATGAATGTCTGTAGTTTGTTGGAAATGCTTTTCGTGACGCGCCAAGATTCTGAACCATATAGCAGCACTGACTTGACATTGGCGTTAAAAATCCGGATCTTGTCCACGCTTTATGCTAAGTGCAGAAGATCTTCACACTGGTTTCAGGTTAATAAACGCCTGTCTTGCGCTCCATAGTAGCATTTATTCTTCAATGCTAGATAAATATGCATAAGACTGGTGTCAATTGTCAGAATGTGACCAATACAATCGGTTTCTAGTTTCTGTTAAAATTTTCATTGGTTCAAATAAGTTTGCAATGTAATATTCCCTTATTCTAAAAAAACTCGGTCTATGGAGACGTAGGTACCCACCATGTGCTTTTTGAATTGTAACGTTATGTTTTAAATGTTTCTATCCAACTAATTTCAGCTTTTATTTAACTAAAGCATCAGTTATCTGTCGCTGATTGCACAAATCCTACTGACTTTAGCTGTTCGTATACTATTAGTCATTCATTCTTGTTGACATGATGTAAACGTCTGCTTTAAACTGAGCTGGTATTTTCGATGAACAATATGATTCACTATCTGTCAGTTCAGAGAAAGGTTTCACCAACATTCTTGACGTGTGTTACGTTCATCTTGATGACTACCGGTGGACGCGCGTTTCGTCTTATTTGGGACTCATCACCTGGGTGTACATCCACTTTAGTGAGTGGTGTTGTTCCCACTCAAGATACGAATCCAGTACACATTGCTTCAAACGCTAAAGTGTTACCTACTGGGCCGCCTCTTGCACAGCGAGTAGCAGTTTTTATTGATACTTGTAATGCCCTGTTGCTATACTGGGTGGAATCACTCGACCTCAGTCCTGAGGATGAGTGGAAACAAACGTAAAATTTGCTTCTACGAATTCCTACCAATCAACTCTACGCACTTATTTGTCAAACCATTTAGCTTATCGGCACACGGATTATCAACAATAGCTTATGCGGACTTTTTTTCGGTTGTATCATTTGGTCATTAATTTATGTCATTTTCACTTATACTCTAAAACGTTTAAACCCTTAATTTCGTAAGTGGCATCCTGATATTCTGTTATTTTCTCCCTAGAAGCATTATATATATATATATATATATATATATATATATATATATATATATATATATATATATATATATATTCCGTTTACATGTAGACTAAACGCATGGTTCTTAAGAAAATCGGTCAAGAAGCTATTGAAATGGGGCATGTTGATCCAAATATTTCTGTTGTTGAAGAAAATACCTTAGTATCCGGTTTATGCGATCTTATGGAACGAATATGGTCACATGGTTTGAACAGGAAATTAGTGAGTATTATACACTTTACATGTTTATCAGTTTACGTATACACTTCTATTGATTATGATTTTTTTTTACAGCCATCTAATGATAAATGCCATTTGTTTATTTGTCCATAGGATCAATCAGGTACACTGTTTCATAGCAGTTATCCCACTGACTAGAATATTCTGTTGGTGAGGTCTTTTTACTCGAACAGTAATTTCAGTGGGAAAGATTACAAAGAGAGTTATCATCTGAGCTTGCCACAATAGCTGGTGTTCCACTCTATTCTCATTTCATTTTCATTTATCCTTATCGCAGAAATACTTTCGGAGTTAATGCTCATCGGCTGTTTATCATTTTCGCGCTGACTATCTTAACATATTTTCAACTTTCAAATGTATTGTAATACTCATAGGTTTGATTCACATTTATACCTAGTTTAAAAGCAGATTATGCAACAGTTAATTAAATCGATAACTCAAATAATCTAATTTGTTACAGCAGTGCTGGCTATTTGTTCGTCGATGAAGTGTTATGTGGATATGGAAGACAGCACTGATCATTCGCCACTGATATTATCTGGCGTTTCAGCGGCCTCAGTGTACGCCTGGAGAGTATGATGGCATGGTACAGGAATCGTTTACGTTTTACTTTGATAACCCATAATTTAATGCTTCGAAAAAAGATTGCATCATAATCTTAAAAAGCTTTGATCTATGGCACTGTTGAAGTGTTATTTACGTATAACGAGTCATCGAACGAGGAATATTGAAGTTAGATGCAGCATAAATGAATTTTCGTTATCTGTGATAGAAAGAAACATTTGCATAATGCCTGTCTCATATGTTTTTTGACTTCATACTGTAGTTAGTGCTGATGATGTCGTCTAGCAAGACGATGAAAGCTTCACGATTAAACAACCCAGCTGAGAGAACACAACACAACAAGATCATCCACCTGAGCTACTAATATTCTGCATTATTTCGAGAGACAACTTCCTTTATTTTTCTCCCGTTCATGGTGATTGATGCCTCTTGTTGTTGATGCTGACGTTGGTTGGGTATCTTCATCACCCCCATCTTCTTTACATTCACTTGAAGTCCCGTTTCCGCTGCCCTGCCTCTTCTGTTAATTTGTTAGCTTTTGCCTGTAGATCTTCGAGTTTGTGTCATAAGACATTAGACACAAATCATCATCGGTGGCGAAATCCAAATCTCCTTCTAGGCTCTTTTCATCATATCGGTCCAGACAGAGTATGCCGATCTTCTCGCTCCTCACAGTTGTCTATTGCATGACCCATTCCAGTCCAGTCGACCACAATCAGGAAGATCATGGTGATAGTAGGCAAACTTGTCTTACTCCTGTCTTCACTTCAAAGGCGTCACTGATCTTTCCGTTGTCAATCGCTTGGCCTTTGCATGTAGCATCACATAGCATGTAAGTGTTGAATGAGGTTGATAAAGGTTTGTGGGACTAAAAGCGTAGTTTTGAAGCAGCAGCAGCCGCCTGCCAAATTACTTCTCGGTCGACGCTGTCAGAGGCCTTTTCAAAATCGATGAAGTTGAGATTGAGTTGAGTTGACTACCATTCTATGTTCTGTTCTATGATGATGCGTAGCGTCACGTTACAATTTGATCCGCACATGATTTGTTCTTCCTGAAGCCAGTCATCCAGTTAGCCAGCCAGCCAGACTGTTCCGGTCGTAATCCAGTTGAATCCAGAGCATTTTTCAATCTCTCCAGGATGATGCGGCTTCATATTTTGCTTGCTTGGGGTGGACAGGAGTGGAGCATGATTCCGCTCTAGTTCTTGCAAAGACTTAGGCAATCCACCCTTCTTTGGCAGTTTGACAAGGTAGCCCTTCTTCCAATCAATCGACAGGTACTTTTCCTTCCTTCCTCCCAAACCTTCTGTAGTAGTGGTGTAGGTATGTCCGCAGTTGTCTCTGCGTCTGTTTTTCAGTGCTCTGGAGGAATTCCATCTGTTCCTGTTGCTTTCTGGGATTTTGGCAACTCTGTGGCGTTCAGGACTTCACTTCTGCTCTTGTCGGAGGGCTTGCGTTCACGGGTAATTCTGTGACTGGGTTGACGGTGGTATTTCTGGACGAGTTGCAGGTGATGATGGTGGTCGATTCAAGAGTTTTTTTTGATGTGGTCAGCTCATCGTTTTCTTGGTTTCTCCTCTTTGGCGGTAACTAGGTTCCCTTCACTATCTTTCGTCGGTTTCATCTGTGTTGATCTCTCCACAGATAGTATTTTGGTCATTTGATATAGTGTTGTCAGGTCTCTGTCTCTCCTACCTCCAACGTGTTCTGCTTCACTTGTCAGTGTGTCATAGAAGTGTCTTTTGTCTTAGCGCGCACTCTTCTTCACTTCTTTATCCAGTGAACTTGAACTGTGTCGCATCACCAACTTCTCTGAAGGCTTTCAACTTGATTTTGAAGGTTCCTTGCACTAGACAGTGAGTGGTGTGAACCACCTACATCTGCTGACCTTTTTCATCTGATCTTGTGTTCAGTAGGCTGCGTCTCCACTTTCTTCATAATGAGATGAAGTCGATCTGATTTTTAGTGTATTCATCTGGTGAAATCAAATCCATATCACTTTGTCAATATCCTTGTGTTTGCACACACTGCCTCCAATCACCAAGTCGTTGAATGCGCAAAAGTCTGCAAACAGTTCTCCATTCTCGTTCATTTCTTAAACAAGTGCTTCTCGACTCATGATCAGTTTTCTTCCTGTGTTGTCCACTCCCAGTTTGGCATTCATGTCGCCTATTAGAATTTTGATGTTGCCAACTAGAGTCTTGCCTAGTACTGATTGCAGTTCACTATAGAATTCCTCCTTCTTCTCTTGCTCTGCATTATTTGTTGGTGCGTAACATTGTATGACTGTGACTTTCTTTCCTTCCTTTTGAGTTGAATCTTGCTATCATGATCCAGCTGGAGGAGGATATTGGTTCCTACTGCATGAGAGAGAGCCTTCGATGTTCTTGGGGCATCATGTTAGCCACTCGAAAACTCAGTGTGCTCGTGGTTGTCGTGTGGGTTACCGGAGTAGATTATTGACTCTCCAGTTGACAGTTTGGAGAGTCCACTTCCATTCCATCTGCTTTCACAGATTCCTAGCACTTCTATGCCATACCTCTTCATCTCTTTTGAAACCTGGCCAGCCTTGGTAGGTTCATACAATGTGCGGACATTCTACATCCTCATTTTTACTTTTGCTTTCATCGAGAGAAGAGAAGACACATCAGCGACTGGCTTCCCGAAGACTTTCACCAACCGGCGTTATTTCGTCTCTCCGATTCCGGCGTGGAATAAGATTTTATTTTTGATATTTTCTTTGTGATGGGAAGTTTGTTTAGCACTTGGATTGTTTTTACGATGTAGGGTTGCTAGGCGTATGCTCAACCTTCCTTCTTTACCCGGGCTTTGGACCGGCTAGTAACTAATGAACTAATTCATCAGTCGAGGTTATTACTATTGTTATTGTGATCTTTATTATTATTAATATTATTATTATTCCTGAAAACTAGTGAAAGCAGGCATATCTTACGAAAAAAATAAGTCATACTATCTGGTTAACTACGTTGCTTACTCTGGTTTGGATATTACAGTTCAGGGGTTTCACCTTATACATAAAATACACTTCCTTAGTGAACACTTCTATTTCTTTTGGTTATCAGGGTAAATCAGCTCTTTGGTCACATTGCTACTATACGCCAAACGTGTTGAATTGATGAAACAAACAAATCAAGAATTAGCAACCAATGAATCAGAACTTCTAAATCTCGAATCATCACCTACTACTTCATCTTCCTGTAGTAGTTCACCACGCATATCAGATCTACGTAACCGGTCCGTTGGGAGTATCAGCTCTCGTATTTCTGACTCAGCTGAGACGAATCAAGAAATATCTCGTGTTGATCCAAAGTATTCAGGTAACTTTAGGAAGTTGATTAATGCTGAAAATATATACTCTCCTGTGGTTATCTATTTTCTAAGTTGAATATGAGAATCTTTTTGAAAGCCAACAGGTATATCAACACTATATTCTTCGTTTTTTTTGTAATGGCCACATGTCAGCTGACCTACTTCATATTGATGTAGGCGCTTTCATTTGATAGCTATTTGCTCAAGCTTTCAAATCTTGCTTCACTTACCTTAGTGTTACCGGCTTAGCAGTACACTAATTGATGCACCGGTTTATAAGTTACCTGTGCAGTATCAGTTGTTATACTAGAGCTCATATGCACAACATAGTGGTTTTAAGTCAGATATCTACGCCAACGAACCGTATTACAGTTCGCGAAAGTCATTTTCTTTAAGTAGACTGCATTATTGTTTATTGTCACCTGTTATCTACCTTGACATGCCATGCTAGAGGGAGCTTGATTTCATTGGAAGAAAGTTCAGAGTGACGAGACCAAGATATGGCACCAGTCGATAAAGTCTTTGAATCGTGTAGGCAGACGTAGACTAACTGGTTAAGGTCCCTGAGACGATAGGAATAAATTTTTGAGAACTCTTGGCGACATGGCTATAAATTGGTCACAATAGCGCGTATGTATTCACTCCTTGACATCCAAAGCGGGAATATTCACACTAGCCTTTATTTTCAATCTGTTTGTTCCCTTGCACATCTTTGTCTACTTTAATATCACTGTTATTTTATCCACCTGTTTTTGCATACTACTGTGAAGTGTTCCAACCTGAGGTAATTCACTTCTGTACGAGGTTCTACCTTGATTCCATTTGTCTATCTATCTGTCACTTTTTATTTCCCGTTGCCATACTCAGTTGAATTTCTCAACTCTCAATATCCGGACAGTATCGAGGCATCCGCATAGGAACCTATCTGCTAATAAAGGCCGGACAATTTGACCCTTTACAGCAACAGAAAATTACAAGTATCAATAAACAACACCTGATACCCGTTGTACAAGAATAGCTCTCGTGCCTCAGTGGCCTAGTGAGAAACACTGGCGTTTGAGACGGTGTGTACTGAGTTCGAGTTCCAGTGGGAACAACTCAATTCACTACCAACCAGTACCGTCATTCTCATTTCACCTCAATTATTGCCAAGGATCAATATGGACAATCTGCCAAGACTCGTCTATCTCAGACAGTCTGATTAACATTCTCAATACGATGCTCCACCTTTATGATTCATTCCGATTTGATTGATATGACAAGACTTGATTGACCAGCCAGTATGATTATAACAAACGGATAATTAAGTTTCATGAATTCATAAAGCATCCAGTTGTAAATTAATGGTGACTGAAGTGAAGTTACAACCTTGTCAGCAGCTAGATTTCGAGGCTCAGATAGTGAAGTGACTCGTCAGTGTAGCATAAACCATTAGTTTGAACCCATTTTGACTCAGGATTGCATTTCACTTTTGGTCATCACCTAGTATTGATAAAAATGAACACTTTTCACTCAACAATGAAACTTTACTATTGACGTAAAAGGGCGAAGGATGAATATCAGAAGGATTACTTATTATGACCAATAATTGCATAACCTGTGCCAAGAAAGCGTTACCCGTGAGAGTTATATCAGGAGCCGCCATCTGAAGATTGATAGAGGACTTATTCAATCGCTTAGAAATAAGTCACATTTGTAAATATTCGAGGTCCATCTGAAAAATGTATGAAACCACAACTCCAAACCACTGATGCATATGAATTCCTTAATCTTGTAGGCACGAATAATGTGGCGTCTGCACTTAATCTGTTATATAATTTTGTAGATTAGACTTTTCAGGATGAGACTTGGATGAATACTTCTGAACCTACGCTGATGAGAGTGTTTGTGTTCATTGGAATTTTCGAATGTCTTAATTACATAAATTAAATACATGGAAATGGAGAAAGTATTTTCGCTGCCTAATTTTTCCAATAGCTGTTGTTTTCAAGAATCTGTTCTTTTTTTCAGGGATCATTTGATTTAGGTTAAAGAATTTCTATAATTGCCTGTATAGATTGTACGTTTTGTTTCAGGTTATAGTTCGTTGAAACGTGTTCGCAAATTTTCACGCGATACAGCTGAGTCGAATCCATCTGTTGCTAAAATAAGTCAGTCCTCTTATCGATCTGCTCGTTTTCCTTGGCAAGATCCATATTATCCGTCTTCTTCTTCGTCCTCTGCACTGTCCACAGCCTTTCCACCTAAATTGTCAACTAATTTGACTAACTGGAAAATGAAACTACAAATGTTGGATGTCCGTGGATCTTCAAATCGTGCGCATAGCGCTTCTTCTCGACAAAAAGATTACAGTTCAAATTCTTCGCATGTCGGACAATCTTCGAATGCAAATACTGGTAGTGGCGCATTCACCACGACTGAAGCAAGTGGTGCTGGAATGATTTTGGATCTGCGTAAAATATTTGGACCTCAGTTTACTGAGCATTCATTGATTGCCGATATTCATTCAATCCAGTCTATGAAAAGTGTTAAAACCGATATAGGTTTTGCGAGAGCGTTTGTTCGTTTAGCTTTGGAAAAGAAACTTCTGTCTGCTCATCTCACACGATTACTAATGGACACAAAACTGCTAAGGTAAATTAACATAACAAGGTGCTGATCACAATTCTAGTGGTAGTGCTTATTGTATACATTGACTGGTCAATTTTTATCGCCTCTGACTTAAGTTTTCGTAAATAAGGCTTTCAGTGTTTTCGTCATAAGTTGTGACGAATCGAACCCAACTGACTTCGCAAACTCAACCTACCGGAACTCATTTTCGAAAACTTTTCAGGATACTCGTAGTTGCAGCCGCCAATATCTACTTTGTTTTCTTTATTTTTTAAAGGATTTTTCACTATTAATCTTATTTACTGGCAACTTGCTGAATGTCTAGTATTTTAATTTGACTTCAAACCTGCGAACTACACCTACTTATTATGAGTAATTGTATGTATATCATGTGAGTAAAAATAACAACATAAAAACTAAACCCGTTGCATAGGAAGTGGCTATCGTGACTCAGCGGTCTGGTGTATACGGCCCTTGCGTTTGAAGTGATCGCTCCATGGTTCGAATCTTAGTGGGAACAACGTTGCTCACTTGGAGGCGGGTACACTCAGCTGATGAGTCCAAAATAGGATGAAACGCACTTCATGGGTTCCACTGCTAGTCACTCTCCATCATTTATATATTCGTATGCATTGTTTGAGGTAGGAAAAATGGAATTGCTAAATTAGTCATCAAAGGAAACCAATCTTCATCTTTTTTGCAGTCATATAAGATATCTGCTTTCAAAAGTTCTAGAGTTCAACAGAGCAACCAAACCTTAAGTCATAGGTATCCTTTTCTTATCAGTTGCTTGTGTTTAAAACGAGTGCTTAAAGCGAATTTGCATCGAATTTCTGATAGAAATTCTACGCAGCTGAGTCTTTGAGATGCAATAATGTTTTGCATCATCTCCTTACCAATGAATTATCAGTTGGAAACTAGTTTCATCTTTTAAGATTCTGTTTTCTAGTTATTGTGATTCATAGCCTTGTTTTCGAGTTGATATGCAGTTGTCTAGTTTCAGACTTAGATTCAGTTCTTAAAACAATTAGTCCCGTTGATTAACTTAAACATTGAAATGAAAAACTCGAAGACTATCTGAAATATATTATGTATTCTCACCGCATACCCTGAAATAATTTGATCACACATAAATTACTTGAAAGATTGTTCGAAGTGCATAGAGGTAATACAACGTATAATCTTTATTTTCTGCATTACACTGTTTAAACAGATTAACTGTAGATCTCGGTTGAATTCTCTCATTTGGCTTTAAAATTATCAGTGCTACACTATTAGGTGCTGAATCATTTTATTTACGTAACCGTGAAGCATCATTTTGAAGATATGCTTTTCAATACGAACCACGATAAGATCACATTTAGTCCATGAATCTAGCATCAAAAACTTGTAAATGGACTATGCTTGCTGTTTATTGCGTGAGCGATGAAATTTGATTGAAAACAGTTCGTCATTTAAATCGATATCTCTATGACCCCGATTCGAACAGATTTCGCATAACATATATATTTAGTTTTTCGCATTGTTGTCATGGATTTTTCATTTTTTTCAAAACATCAGGCATATGTATACAAGATATGCATTTCTACGATGTGAAGAAGAACGTGAACAATTTCTGGTGCATTTACTGTCACTAAATGCTGTAGACTATTTTTCCTTTACGCGAATGATTAACCAAAACTGAAGTGATCTATGAAATATTTATATGCAACGGTCGAAAGCATGGTAGTGGGATGACATCTACAGCGAATGCTTGGATTAAAATCCATGGACATTTTGGGTCAACTCAAGTGATCACTGTTCCACGAGGTCATAATCTTATTGAAATTAAAGTAAGTCTTCCTGTACATGAGTGTATTTTTGTTTACATCTTCAGAATTTTCCATATCCCTTTTTTTCTATTCTTTGAAAAGTGGGTTTTCATATCACACTTTTTCTTGTTTAAGTAATCACTACAGATCAGAGAGTCGTTACCATTATCTCTCCAGCTTGCACACCTATTGATACCGTTGAAGCGGAGTCTAACAGTTTCGCTCCTCCGTGCCTGTTCATTGTCTCTTAAACCTAACTTCAGATAATTGATTATTTAGGTTGGATTATCTTTCACTGTTATGCATTTTACTAATTTATAAGAGTATGCATGTAAATAAGATGGATAACACATGTTCTTACTACATGGACTCAGAAAATATCTTTACACCCGTCATAGAAGAGCGTAGGAGCGTAGAATCGATGCACAAAAGTGCATCGGTTCAAGTTTCTGCACTTCATTGTTATTCTTCGACTAAAGTGGATGACACTACCTATTTTAAATGTAGTGCTAGCCAACAAACTTCTTCATTGAATGCTACGTTCTAATTATTTTGTAGATGTCATCAACTTTCAGGATCTTCATAACTCAACATCGTCGTTTACCACGCTACGGTATATTTCTTTGAGAGGCCTCCATATTATCCAGTGACTCCATCTAGTTAAGTTTTCTTTGGGGACTGTTAAAAGATCTGATCAATGCTGGTCTTAAAGTTTTAACTTGTGTAATTGATGTACATACCATATTCCTGTTCAATTCATGAGCTATGGTCTTCGTTGAAAAAATACTTCCCTATAGTTATGCTTATTTGTCTCTATATGTTTGTTTTTACCTTCTGTGAAGAATCGAAATCTTGGTCTTCTGTCAACTATCCAAGTTGGACATGACAATTCAGGTTCATCTCCGAAATGGTTTATAGAATTTATTCTCGTATTCAACCGTATGACTAATCATCTTTACTTGTAAGTTTATTTTTGGGGGGATTTTAATTCAGTAGTTGTTCAGTTAGTTGATTTTCATTCAATTAATTGGCTCTGGCATTATCCCCGCTCTATAAGTCGAAAAATTTGACAAGTCCTCGAGATGTACAGCTGCATCCTTTACAGTCGGTGTCATAGATTACAGTTTCATAATGGTAACCGAGTACAATAATTGTATAATGTGAGAAATTTCACATCAGTATATGTTGGTTGTATGGAAGTAATCGACAGGAAGTCTTTAACCTAGGTTTCATGCTTCGTAGCACTCGTCAACATGACGTATCTGCAACCTCGATGGGACTGGTGTCCCGTCTGAGATTCAAACCCGCTCCACTCAGTGCTATAGTTGGAGATGTAACAACATAGCTGTTTCGCATCCTTTATATTTAGAGTAATTATCTGGTGGTTCAAAAAATATATAAACTGGTTATTTCTTTTGTAGATTCCCTTGTTATCATTGGTTTGGCTTAGGAATTGAAGATGATGCTTTAGAACGTGTTCTAGTTGGTGAGCAGATCCGTATTGCTTCGAATGACCCGCGTGAGTATACTTTTTCGGCGCTGTGGTAGTTTAATTTCACTTTTTAATCTACTTTACAGAATAATTATTACACTACAACTAAGTGATTTTTAAACGCTTATCTTCATCTTTTTCGCCTTTGCAATCTACTGCAGCAGGGCAATTTCGTTGGTTCACTTAGTTTGATAAAGGTTACACTACAAAATTGTTGGAGAAACTTCAGTTGATACCGAGCACTTAGAAATTGAAAGCTACATTAACTAACATTCAGTGAAACCGAGTTTCACAACTTCTTGTCCACCGACTCCAAATGTTCAACACTGGAATATGCTTTTTCTTTTTAATTGAAGACTGCAATCGGCTGAACACTGTCTTGTGTAGTTGTTGTGTTGGCGCTGTTCATGCATTTTCTTGTAGCTAGTTGAAGTGACAATTTCAAACTGGATGTCTGCAGTTAACAGATTCAGCCTCTTAGTGCTGATTATTTTGACTTTTAACTGGTAGTTCATTGTTTTACCTAATTTAATCGACTATAGTCCTATTTTATTCTTTTCAATCTTCACAAAATTCCCAGAATGAAATGATATTACTAAGAAGACTTGACAACACCTTCATTGTGTTGATTTTTATTTTGTCGACATAAATGTTTACTGGTCAAAACTTCTTACATTCTAGCATACTGTGTGTATACTTACCAAGCAAATTGAATGAAGAGTTTCAGAAGGAAAAAAAGGACGTCTTAATATGGAAAAGCTTCGGTTTGTAAGACTTAGGGTCCAAATGTTGAAAAAGCTAGTTGATATTTGTCTTTTACTCACACAGATAAAGCATAGAAAACATATGGTCGAAAAAACAAAAGACTACCGAGTCTGAGATGGATATCAGTATTACAGCGAAATACACACTGACTAACATAACTTGAAGAGAACAGATAACCTACTCACATCATTGATTATGCTCTTTTGCGTTGACAAGTGTATTGATCGAGCTAAGAAAGCCGCCTTTGTCATGTTTTTTCTGAGCATCTCTCAAATTTACTCATAGGCAAAGCTTTCAGCGATATAATTACCGCTTATTTTAGGTATATTACGAATCAAGTAGATTTTTATGCATACAAAACGAGCGAATGATATCAAGAACATCTTGGTTTGTCAAGGGTATCAGTCACCAAAACGGTTCACTTAGTCAAACTGGTATGTATAAAAAAAAGTATTATTATCTAGTTGATCGGAAACAGTATTCTGGTGTTATTTTATTGTCCTTTAAATTGCCATAAAATATTTTCTTCTCTAAACTTAGCCACCGTTGGCTTATATGTAAGAATTTAGATATTAGTAGTTAACTTATCTCTTTCCCAGAGTGGAAGAGGCACCCATTTTGAATACTCATTCGTCAGTAATATCAATGCTCTCACGCTAGTTCTACAGTTTCCCTCGTAGACATGAGAATTTTTATTATCATTAGTATCCTTAACACTACTACTACTACTTCGGCGGAATTTCGATTGACTAGCTAACGTGATTAATAAGCTAATATACTATGCCTAAAACAAAACAAACGCTGGATGAAATCAAAGCAGGAAGAAGAAAGTCAAAATAATAAAGTGTATTTCAAAGCTGTTTCAAGAAAGATGGGTCACATTGAGGGGATATCAATTTTTTTTTAAACATGAAACATTTTCTACCTTTTGAAGATGGAGATTGTTGTTCGCTTTAAAGGATGCATGCAGAGAAGTATGTTGAAAACTGGTGAGTTAGGTCTCACCATTACTGGAGTAACTGAAAATCTGGTCAATATTTTTTCTTTTTTACCAATTCGCCCATTTAACAGCTTTTGTTAAAGAAAAAAATGTCTACATTCTCTCTTTTTCGGGAAATAATCTATGTACTAATCATTTTTCCAGGTATCTATGTAAGTTTTGTTTGGCTCGTGTGCTTTGTTTTGAGCATTTTTCATATACACTACTAATGCACCATTTCACCAGTTTAACCGGTTGTTAAATTACACATATTTGCTTACACCCTGTGTTTTGACGCTAGTGTTATGCACTTATTTTAGTAGTATTTCGATTTCACTCTTTGTTCGTCTTAAAAATGGAAACCATGTAAAGAATTTGTATGTTTTGATAGATTTGAAAATGGCTTCAGTCAATACTTAGTAAGCAAGCGGTATTAAGTTTCACACTACTTAGGTGTTATTGCACAAACGCCCCAGTGTGAACGAAAAACAATGAACTAGAACAGCTGTCCTCAGTACTGTTGCAATTTTCGGAAGAAAAGTCCCTGTGTTCCTATGATTTGTGTTTGAGAAAGAAATACATACCCAGTAAACATTTTTTCTGTCTCTCCCATGTTTTTTTTGTTGTAACATTTTCTGAGATGGTGAAGGTTGTATTACTTCTCAGTTTATCTAAAGAGAAGATAAGTAGATGGAAATGAAATGTTGATAGCATTTGTTTTTGACACGCTAGCTCAACTACTGTTCACCTGAACATTGAACATGTGTTCCGCATGCCGAACCACCACCTAGCTCGACGTGCCATGCTAATAGAAGTTGGACTAGGTTGGAAGAGACTTAATCAGGGTGGGCAGACCGAGATGTGATACCAGTCCATGAAGTCTGTGTGTTGATTTGAGTTGTGCCGGGATATGTAGACTACTTGTCTGACACCTCCCGGATTAAAAGAATTAATGTTTGAGGAGTCTTGGTGACATGGGTAAAAATCGGTCACTGTGGTACAGATGTTTTCCCTCTTAGATATCTTCTAAACCCTGAATATTCGCTCTAAGCTTGTTTATTCTGTTACATCACTTTGTTTACTTCGATATCACTCTTCTATCTGCCTGTTCTTTCTGTTTTACTTTGAAGTGTGGTAACTTGAACCGATGCACTTCTGTGCAAGGTTCTACGTTGATTCTGTCTGTCTATGTTCTCAAGAAAAAATAATCAGCTTTTAGCAATCATGCACAGTATTACTATTTAATTAATGATCTGTTTCACACAACTGTCATTTACGCAGGAAACACATAGTCTTGTTTTATCGACAAAGTAATGCCTGTGCATTACTGAGTCGCGTGCAAATCGCTTCGTTTTATGTACCAAAGCATCTGTGAACTCATTTCAGGCTTTTGTTTTCTGTCCTTAACATTAAAACTTGTTTGTTGACCATATGCTGTAAAAGAAATAAGGAATGAAACCGCTTTCAGATCTCCATGGAAGATAACGTTATGTGTATTCTTTATCAGAATTTAGATATTTAACGATACATTCAAGGGAGATTTATCTACTTTTGATGCTGATGTATTGCAGTTTTTTCAGTTTAAATATGCAATAATTTCACCAAATTTTTTTGCATCTGGGTTTTCACAGCAAGACAAATGTTTTGATAACGTTACATAGTACTGAAGTCAACCTATGTTGCCCTATCTTCCGTTTGATAAGAAGTAGCTTCATCAAATATACCTTCGGCGCCAACTCGCTCCCAACACGATTATTTGACTGATTTTGTTGCTATTTGGGTGGCTCATAAGTTATCTCACGGCGAAATATCATCCTCATCCTCGATATAGTGGATTTTTCCCGTGTAACAGATTTACCTGAAGGTTTAAACTCTCTTGTGAAGCGTTTCTGGAGGACTACGCGAAAGAAGAGCGGGAAATTCGAGCTGCGTTGCTCAATCCTATCTCTAATTTAAAACACAGGTGACATAAGCTTGTAAGCTTTCACTATACTTGTTTCAACTTTCATACTAGACATATGAGATGCTAGTGAGCATAGGGTAAAAATATGTTTCTCTTAGGTAATCTTAGGGTATAGTCTTATCAAGCGAATTTCGTGCAGCTTTAGTGTATCCCCTGAAAAAAAAACGAGGACGCTATCGATTCATTCACTATTTAGACAACAAGTTTTCCTTCAGTTTGTGAAAATTGCTTGGTATGATAATAACCAATACTAGGGGATTAGTAAGAGACCTATAACTGGATTATCCACACCTGCATCACTTGTACACTTTTCTTAGCATAGCTACACTATTCGTTCCATTACTAAGTAACGGAGTAACCTCTCTCCTCCATACCATCTTATACAAACTAATCAACCCGTTGACGTTAGTGTTGTTTCCACTTTTAAAAGGAGTTCGGGTTTAGTTAACCTAGACTAATTGTCGAATATTGTTTAGTATATAGCCTTCTTTAGCTAAGTCCCTCCTGGTTCATCATACTGCACCGATTTACTATAATAGAAATCAGTATTGACCATGCCATTTTCTCTGGGAAAACAGAATGAAATGCACTCATCAGCCACCTGTACGTTCCTGCAGTGAACAACGAACCACACCTATTGTAACCAAGCCTTGGTCGGGTGAGTGGGGTTTGGATGCATCCTTGGTTAGTTGAAAAACGAGTGTCTAAATGAATGGGCCATTGCTCCTCATCATTGGACTTTAAAACGTTTAATAATTTCTTTGAATTTAAACTAGTTACATTTAGTTGTTTCTTGTGAATAAATTTCGCTTTAATGAATTTATGATTTCAGCGTATACCTTATTATTGACTATTTGTAAGCTAAGATTCAATTTACCATGATAATTCTATCATTCTATCGTCAAACGTAATCATAAATTTATCATCTTCTTGCTTTGTTATTTCAAATTTCCCAATGTCTGACTTACTATAAGGTGTTAACTTTACTTCGGAGAAATAAACAGGTATGTAAAACTGGGCTAACACACATGCGTATCACATATATATGTACGCTTTTATGGTCTTTTATTTTGTTATTGTTGCTAGTTTTGTCTCTTTTTACATCATAGTGTTTGTATTACTTTAACCTTCTGTTTGGGGTTAACTTTGGATTATTTGTGTGTTCTAGCGTTTATCATCATTACTATTACTACTATTATCCAAAGTGTTTCTTTATTCTTCTCCTTGTACCTACCTACAACAGATCTTTTATTCACTGCTCCACCTTCTGATCCTATTGAGTGCTTTCAAAATTTGCCTAATCGTTGCTCGTCTCCATCAATGTCAAGACGGAATTCTGATCACAGTAAGCTTTATTTTTTACTTATGACTATTTTATTGGTAAAGAAGAAGTTTAACTTCTGAACTTTTATAAAGACTGTTTACACTTAAAAAGTATGGGTTCTACCCTGTAAATGAAAAATAATCTATTCTCTTAGCAAATCAAAAATCAAAATGAAACAAAATAAAAGTTCTATTGAGTTATAAGGAACAAAAAAGTTTTTCTTTATACTTACAGAAGCTTTACAATTCTATCTATAAGTCCAAGTTTGATATTCGTCATGGATTGACATCGTTTGAAGAAATATTAGAAACCTGTGAGCACTGGGAAACCATTTCTTCCTAGTATGAAATGCCTCAGAAGTGTGCACTATGGCCTCGTCAGCTATCGAACCTAGGACCTTCGAGTTCTGCTGTCAGCACGTCTCCATTATGCCACTGGATCGGCATCGAATGGTCCATATTTTCTACTTCTACTAGTCCAGGATATAGCGTAATCTCTGTCCAGTGCTGTCGTGCTTAAAACGTAACTGGAGGTCCTAGACTCGATCCCTGGCGGAGTCATGGGTGCGCGCTTCCGAGGAGTCTCATACTAGGATGAAACAGCTGTCCAATATTCCCAAGTTTCCATTATTCTTCAGACTGGTGTCAGTCCATGATGAATATCAACCTTAATCAACTAGTGTGAATCCCCAAAAACCTTCAGATTGAACTATCTATAGGTATTTGAAACCACTATTATTAAGATGAGTCACGTCGTTACTCCAACGCGATCGATAACTGCTGCCTTCAAGTAGTGTTTGCGCATGCATTTCACAATGATCCAATGATTTACGCTGGCTAAGGCGATTGCTCACTGATGTTCTAATATGTCAGAAAGGTGGTAATACGAAAAGCAGTTGCCTATGTGCCTACAGTATGTTCGATATTGGAGATGGAAGTAGAACAGGCATAATGTTTTTCACGTGGATGACTGGCAGTAGCATACTGACGCTGTCTTCCCTATAGTAAGATGAAGATGGGGTTTAGAAGAGATCGGTCCAAAAAGTAGAAGACTTCCTTGCCCGGAGATACTGGCTTTTCACTTCCAAAGTAAGCACAATGAAACGTCATATGTAATTGATCTCAAGCAGATGTCCCATGGGCTGTGTAGTCACTAAGAACTAATCCTTCTTCTCTTTCAGGTACCGCGAAGAATCGATTTCTATGGTATAGGCACCCGCAAAGTATCAACCGTCTGAACACCCCCAGCATCATGCTAAACCCAAATAACCACAACCTTCGTTTCTTATCTTTGTCTCCTTGCTCACCTTCACTTCGTGATCCCAACAATAACCCTCTGAAAAATCCCTCAACATCTTATCCTATGGTCATCCAATACATCAAAACACCATTCCCAGCTTTCTAAAACTACACTGATGATTTTATAAACCAAATCAGGCTAAAGGTGTCTCTTGCTAACTCTAGAATCTCGAACTATGGATGTTTGCTGCGTTTCTGAGACACACATACAGGACACAAATGTCATAGCTCACCTTACCTCACCTGAACGATGTGGGGGGATGCACAAGACTCACTCTCCCATGCACTTGTTGGTATAAAGCAGAAAGTCAATATCTTGATCACTCAACAGCCTATTATTTTCTGTCTGACTGACTGAATCTGCAAGAACTGCGAAAAATAATGAGACTTGCCAATGTCTATTCGTGGTTTCCACCTACTGCAATTCTGATGATACAAAGAATGCATTCTATCATAAACTGTCAACTTCACTACATATAGTCGTGTTAGCTTGTGGCAGTCACACTCAAGTGGGAAAGCTGAGCCGATTGGAAAGGCTTGCTGAGGGTGTTTACAGTATCCTATGTCAATGAACCGACAACGGTGATCGTTTGTTGCAATTTTTTTGACAATCACTTGTTCCTGGTCAGCAATATTTCCAAGCATAAGCAAAGAAATAATCTTGCCTGGTGTCTGCCAACATAACCGACATTGCACTTAGATTGATCATATTGCTGTAAGCCATCGTTGGAGAGGATCGGTGGAAGATTGCTACCATTGGTGAAGTACCTGCGTGGATTCCAATCACGCGTTTGTATGAGCACGTAGATGTTTGAGCTGCACTTACCACAGGAAACGGTCAGCAACAAGACCTGTGTTCTCAACTGAAAGATGAGAACCTTAAGGGTTTATTTAGGGAAGAGATAGCTAGAGACTTACCTGACTATGGTGGCAACTCTCTTCATAGTCAAATTTGGCATGAAATTCAGTTTTCTGTTCAACAGCCATAAAAATAGTTGGTAACCTTCATCCAAAGGTTAGTGAATGTCAGTGGATTTCCACAATCTTATCCAGGCGGATCGTTTTAAGAAGAGTCATTCAAACTTGCTATGAGAAACCTAGGCGAAAATTAACTAAGTCTTTGTAATAGTGGTGAGTAGTGGTGGATGGTGAGAGGGATAAAGAAGACGTTAATATTAGTCAGTACTCGTTAATTATTTTGTCTCATTCAGAATACCGACAACAAAAGGAGAACAGTTATTGAAATCCTTATCAAATGGAATGTATCTATGATAACGTCTCAGAACAGAAAGCTATGACTTTGGGAATAGTTCAACGGACCTTCATTAGCCATTTAGTTATCCAGTATTCAGAGCGATCCTCAATGAGCTGGTGATTTCGGTCGTCCGAGTCTCCTCGAATAAGAGGGATTTGTTTGAAATCTGAGACTATGCTAATCATCAGGACCTGCTAGTTTGTCACTGGATGTAGTAAACTCCTAGGTAGATTAACAAAGTTACCAGCTAGCGTAGCCTTCTCGTGACAGCCATAGGATAGCCAGTTCAACATTGTGTCCAAGTTCCCAGCGTTCAACTAGGATTCCAGAAGAACAAAGTTCAGAAAAGCAGTCAAGTTTCAGACGTGCATGAGGGTGCATCGAGCAAATATTCACATTTCGACAGGTTCTGAAACACAGGCATGCTTGCCAGCGGCCGACATATGCCATATTTCCTGACCTGAATGTGATATTCGACTTTGTCGACCGAGAGGTGTTGTGGCAATGCCTGACTCTGAAAGGAGTATTGAGAAATTATGTAATTCTAATCAGAGTTCTGTACTTGAACTCAAATACAGTGTAAAGGCTGAAAATGAGTTGTCATCTGAATTAACTGCAGTCAGTAGTGTTTGTTCCGTATTAGATAGTTTGTTTGATATAGCATACAGTGATACAGTATAATTTGCTGGATGATGTCTCGAGCAGAATTTATTGCTCATATTCATATCAAAGTAGTCATATGACTTTCAAACTTCTTTTATAAAGTCCAACACTTCCTCGTTATTTTATCCTAAAGGTGGTAAAATTTCCCAGTTGTCTGAAGTGTGTATGGTGAATCATTCCTGTCACGTTTATTAGGTGTTGATTCAATGTTCACCAAGAATGCGTCCTATCGCTATTTCTCTTTAAATTGATTATAGACGTACTGATGGATTTTATAGGGATTGACCCAATTCCTTGAGAGCACCTGGTTGACTTGGAGGTCGCAGATAACATTGTTGTGCTAGGCAAAGACGTTGACAAGTGTGTGGTACTCTGAACGCGTTGAGCAGAAATCTGAGTATGGTTGACTTGCGTTTCACGTGCTTTGACTGCTTCACTTACTTGCAAAGTTATGTCAGCATGAATGGATTCGTTGTTGGCGAAACCTCAGTTCTGATATTGAAGGTTCGTTTAGCACTTCCAAACTGACATCATCTATGGCGCTTGGAGGAATTAGGACTACCTGTCAAGAGAGGAACATCCTGAACTTCAGTCCCCTCTGTTCTTTTTGATGACTATGTGACACGGTCCCAGAAAGTAGAAGTGAACAGATTACAGGTATCACCGCAACATCGTTCCCATGTAGTGGAATCAGCGCGGGAGCAATGTTGAAGTTAGGCGATGAGTACTAGGTATGGTAGGTGGGTCTATTAATGGAGCGATGAACCTTCACTGACTGAGGTGGCTAAGATATGTGTTGCGCATGCTGAGCCACCATCTACCTCCATGTGCAATATCAACTCAAATACTGCGTTGTTAAAGGAAGACTCAAAGTGCCTAGACTAATTCATGGAACCAGAGGATGAAGTCTCTGACTGTTAGTCTGAGCCGTGTAATGTGGTGTAGACTGCTTGGTTGAGGTCACCAAGATGATAGGACTCAGTGGTTGATGACATGGTAGAGAACTGTTTACAATGGCGCAGATGTATTCACACTTTTACGTCTCCTAGTTTTGAAGATTTTCACTGTCTCATTTTAAAAGTTCTCTTTACTCCTCTACAATTTTGTTCACTTCTATGTCACTCTTTTCTTACCCAGTTGTTCTTTGCAGGCTGCTGTGAAGTTTGGGAACTTGGACTGACACACTTCTCTGCGTGGTTCCACGTTGATTTTATTTGCCTATCTGTGTGACAGTGTTCAAGAGTAGAATTATAAATTGTTTCTAGAGACAAAAGGAAATTATGTAGTAACGCAATAATGAGACTTTTTCGTAAGAAGAGATGGAACTTACTTCTTCTGCATATAGATTTCAGATTTGAATTGCTGGATTGCCAAAACCTTCTCGCGGCACAAATTTTGAAATCGTTCTGCTTTCGGTCGCGGTTGCTTGACTTTGTAAACTGTCATACAGGTTGACTTCTGTGGAACTTGTGACCGTTAACGATCAGATTTTCAAGTATCTAATGGTTTACTGATTTGCTATAACCTATTCACACTTAAGCTCAATGATGCAGTAAAATTTAGCTAGCTCCATAGTAGAGAGTAAAATTAAGGAGGCAGCTAGAAGTCGCAACTTTTCCTCGATACATGCATTTATCAGTTTTCATGCAGAGAAGACAGTACGGAGCTTGGTCGACAAAATGTCTTTCTAGAAGATATGCAGAACTGGTTCTTGAGAACTGAATTTACGAAGTCAAATGAATCTAGCACACTGTATCTACTAAGGTAGTTACGAACTGGTTAAAGGATTTCAGTGAACCGTTCAGCAGAAGCAGCATAGGGTGTGTTATCCATGTCCAAAATCGAATAAAGTTAAAGATTCACCTTGTCCACCTTTGGAAGATGATATGAACGAAATATAACAGGATCTGTTAGTCGTAGATGTCCAAATATGTCACAGCTGATGGTCAATTCATTTGTCAGTTTTTGCAAATCTTGCGTATGTTTGTGTTCAGTTGTTCTGTTGTGTCATTTGGAGCACTTTTAAAACATACTTTATCTCTGTCTGACAAGGTGAATAGTATTTTGGTGGGATAATTCAATTCAATCTGCATTATCAGGATGATTCAGTGATATCCTTATTTCTCAAAATACCATGTGGTTGCTTTTTGTACTGCTTTGACAGAAATCGTCAAAAAAGCATTTTCCTGTTTATTTATTGAGAACAGTAACTCATAACAGTAGATTTGAATTGCTTACAAATTCTGTTTGAACCTGAGCGGAGATTCTTCATTTGATTATTCAGAATTTTAAATTGGATATTTGTATCAAGTTGGTTAACATTTGACAAAATATTGTGGAGTTCGGGGCCAAAGCCAATGCTTTCATTTGAATTTAAGGCAACTAAGTACTAGAGTAGTTGAATATACGATTTCGCGCGTTTCTGTAAAATGTGAGCAAGTTATCCGTTGGTTATATGCTTTTCATGAATTTGAGATGAGGGCCATCTAATTATCCCTATGAGACTGTTCTATATACTCTGTTAATTCCATACGTTTACTTTCAGGTGAATCTAATGAAGTATATGCTGTTAAGGAAAAGTTGTTTTCCATTTTAAGTAGGAGAGGTTTATTTTCGTTGTTTGTATTTGGTTTATACTACTTCAGAGATTGGTGTTTTGGATGAATATAATTTTTACTTAGATACTTCTATCATAGACTCGGGCATTCACACTTTTGTAAACAGCTCTTCAGAAAATTGATCTGTCGTAAAGATCACTTTTTTCAATCGTTGAATTGTCTTCTTTGAGACTATACAAATGCTGTGATATGTGGTTGTCATGACGCTTTTTGCCAGGAATATCTTCAAATCAGCCTTACTTTGGGAATAACTGGTAATTTTTAGTACAACAACGGGGTATCAAGTGATTCTTGTATGCATGTTTATAGTCTGAATACTGAATGTGTTGTCAAGCATTTCGACTGTTGACTCCTTGTACGTATACTCGTCAGTTAGATTTAGACTTGTTACAGTAGGGAAAAAACGCAAATACTCTGCATTACTATTTTCTATGAAGTTTCAATCGATATAATTTTGGATGGCAGTAAATATTACCTAAATAAATTATTCAGCATACCATCAAATTAACCAAACATATATAGAAGCAATAGTTTGAGGTTTAGGGGGATTTTATTCTTAGGGTTACAGTCATCACGGACTGACATCAGTTAAAGAATTCTTGAAAGAAACCCTGAAAGCAGTGGACAGCTGTTTTTTCCTAATATAGGATTTCTCAGCACACACATCACAATTACCTGAAAAGCAAAATCCCCCTTAAGCACTCATTGCATTACTGTGTATTGCTCCCTAGTGACATATTTCGAGATGAATATCCTGAGGTTTTAATGAGAAGCCATGACCTGTGGAGTCACCCAGTCAGATGGGAAGCAGTAACCAACTGAAGACATTGGTTAATAGTCCTGCTGTATCTCTAATTCACAAAAATTGGAAACTGTGAGCCATTGAACTCCGATCTAATGGCTAAATGGTTAGTGCGTTAACCATGATATCTGAAGGTCCTGAGTTCCATCCCAGGTGTGTTCGTGAGTGCGTACTGTTAAGGAGTACCATTCTGGGACGAACTATCTGTTCTCTCCTTTTTGGCTTTCTCCCAAGAGTTCTCCAACAGATGCCGATGCGTGATGAATGCTACCCTAATAATATAAAATTTTCAACTTTTTAGATTCTTCATAATAGCTGTCTGTATTTCATGAAATTGATTATTCTAGTTACTTTTGACTTATTGTCTGTTTTTAATTCAGGCTGTTTTTATTGCTTGTTTTTCATACTTTTCACCAGAAAAATTAAGTGCGGTAATGATACATGAACGTGTAGCCAGTGCAGTAAATCGTTTGCTGAAATACTTTTGTAAAGCAAATCGTTCCAGTACAACAACAAGCTTGACATCGTTATGGTGTGGAGAACATGGTCTAGTTCCGGCACTGAATTTGGTTTTTATGTATGCATTTCGTTCAAGTAAAATATTTCAACGAAAAATTTATGTCTGGGATTATTTAGGTAAGAAATGAATTAAATTTTTACTAAAAGTCGTGAAGTAATACATACCAATGTATTCATAATTCTTATTGTGACATTAAAAAACAAGATATTCGGAGAAGCGGAAACTCTTTTCAACGAATTTATTCTCAAACTGTACATTTGTATATATACAGGATATTTAAAGACTGCAATTAGTCGGGAAGACTAAACTTAAATAATGGAAATAACAATAATAGTGGTTATAATTGTTATAATAATGTTGCTAGTTGATGACTAAACGTTTGACTGATAACAAAAAGGGGTTCACTAGGAATTCTGAAATCATCTGTACGGTGTGTATAGATTATGAAGGGATGAGAACATGATAGACATTATAAAAATTCCAAAGATTAGGTTATATGAATGAGACAAGTTAACTAGGATAAATTAAACATATTTTGTCAAAAACTGCAACTATTGAGAAGATTAGATGAAGTAACACCGGAAACTATTAAATGTAGATAATAACAATGATAACGCCGATATAAAAGTAAGAAGATTAATAGACAATCAGATATCATGGCGGCCCCATAGGTGGTATGACTTGGTGAAAGCCAGTCGAGGCCTTTGTATTCGTGCAGAGATTTCATCGGCCACTGAGCCAGCCACAAGGGCTGACCCTACTTCCCAGGTAAGTGAAGTGGTCGACACACTCAATCACTTCTTTACATTAATCTTCTTACTTTTATATCGGCGTTATCATTGTTATTATCTACATTTAATAGTTTCCGGTGTTACTTCATCTAATCTTCTCAATAGTTGCAGTTTTTGACAAAATATGTTTAATTTATCCTAGTTAACTTGTCTCATTCATATAACCTAATCTTTGGAATTTTTATAATGTCTATCATGTTCTCATCCCTTCATAATCTATACACACCGTACAGATGATTTCAGAATTCTTAGTGAACCCCTTTTTGTTATCAGTCAAACGTTTAGTCATCAACTAGCAACATTATTATAACAATTATAACCACTATTATTGTTATTTCCATTATTTAAGTTTAGTCTTCCCGACTAATTGCAGTCTTTAAATATCCTGTATATATACAAATGTACAGTTTGAGAATAAATTCGTTGAAAAGAGTTTCCATTTCTCTGAATGTCTTGGTGTTAATCCATACCACTTTCTTCATGTGCTGGCAAAATCACATCAAGACATTTAATGGATGAAAAATTAAGGTTTGGCAAAACGATACCTATTTCAGTTATTTCATTCTGCAAGCTGTGTAGTCGCAATTAAATGCGCTAGTTTTCCTTCACCACAGCGAATACATTCTATTGCGACCGTAACTTCATGTTCACGGAATAATGAAATTGCCAACAACATGAGTGGTGATAATTGATGTGTCAAGTTTGGTAACAATAGTGAATGGTATGTAAAACTCAATTGAAATTATATAAGGCTGATCATGTTCCGTTAATAAATTGCGTAACATGACAAAAGAGGATGTTCGATTGTTTCAAAAGCTAACAGTCAGGACCATAAAACAAATTAGATTGTGTAGTTATGTTTTATGCATGCAACCCTCAATTCTCTAACAGGAATGCATAAAGCTCTGGTGATATAAAGTAGGTGATCAAGCTTTGCCTTTTTATAATGTTTTTTTGATACTGTATCCACTGGGGACAGTTTCTGAAACGAAATTGCAGTTGTACAGTTCTGAGAATGAAATTGCTCGAATAATTCTCTTCGCTTGAAATTCGTCGTAGTTACTTACGGTTAAGTGTGCTGTGTTACTACTAATAATGCTGAATATGTGGTTTATTTTTTTCTCGTAGTTGATTCTACGTCCTTCAACCTGCTGTTGAAGTTGCTCTGATTAAACTTACTTTGTGGAATAGTTTTGTATCATAAACAGCGACCTCTTGCACGTTTGGCTTTACTCAGAATTCAGTATGTTGTGTAACATTGTGATCTGCTGGATCTCAGGACCACCTACAAGGTGTTAATACAAGATTTAGTTAATGCTACAGATGAAGCGTAGAGTAACGTTGTGTCAGCTCTAAAAATAACTTCAGCTTCCGTCTGATGCAGATTGATTTTCGTGGTACCTGCTGTTTGGGAGTCCCATACTTGGACGAAACATCTGTCCAGTAATTGTCTTTCTTTCAAGAGTTCCCCAACTGATGTCGGTGCATGATATTTGAACTTTGTTTCACGTGCTTTCTCTCGGGGCTTTGGTGCAACACGATCGGCTTTGGACGGCTTCAGGGATTTCGAGCTTTTTAAGAAGAGCTTGGCAATCTGATTGCACAATCTTGCACTAAAATACCTATCTATTACTCACACAGTCTCCAAAATGTAGAAACTTTTTGAATACATCTAATGATGGAAATACAGGCTTCCACCAATCATGAAAAAGTTAAATTACGCTCTAATGATGGGAATCAAATACCATACTCACTGATTTATTCTTTTTCAATAAGCCTGTGTAGTACTACACAATATGACATTACGTTCCACATAATTTAGGTTGAAAAGTATTTTCGGCACTATATGTATACACCAGAGTTATCCCAAGAATACTATCGACTTGTGAAGTCATTAATGTATGGTGAAATCGGGCAATGCTACTTTGTCCCACTACTGATTTCGAACATTGGAACAGCATGGTTTTTTGATGTTTTCACGCTGTTTTGGGCATCATTGTTTAGGGTTTTTGGATGTAAATCAATGACTGCAAAAATCCTCTTTTATTGATAGTAATGAATACCAGTCCGGTCAAAATGTACGGAGGTATGCCTAGTGTCAAGAAATATATTAGTTGTAAGCAGTTTTGATACTTTATAGTCTACCCTTAAAAATCAGCTAAAATGCTCGAATTCTGGTGGGGTTTTCAAAGTCGTATTTTCGTTGATGTATACTTCTTCAGTGTTTTTATGGGAAGGAGTGAAATCCTTGATTGCCCTCAGTGTTATTCAAACTTGATATTCTTACTTCTCTTTTATATATATGAATCCAGAAAAGTTGCTGTCAGTTTTTCCATGGAACTAAAGCCCAGTGGACACGGACCAAATACCTTACAAATATCTGATTCTCAAAGTTCCTCTGCCTCTAAATACTTACCGTTTTCTACTCACAGTCTACCACGTTCGTTGACATCTAAAAATCATCGTGGTTCTATCATCAATAAAGATATCGACTTAACTTCATCATCAATAATGTTAGCGAAATCAGGAGGACTCCCTCACTCTCCATCATTTTCTTTGGTGAATGAAACATACTCAACGAGTAACTACGCTGATGCTAGAACGTGTGCGGCATCTCGAACTAATCTGTTCTCATTCTCCCAACCTGCTTCACCTGCTGTATCTCGTTTAATTCCACATGAAAATTTGGATTCACAAAATCCAATTTTCACATCTGCTGGTATTCCACCTAACAGTTTATGTTCAATGCCTGACATGCAACGTATTGCATTACAGTTCATCATGTGTGTGCAAAATGTGACGACTAATAGTAAGTCTTTAGGCAAAGAAGGCAAATTTCAGGTGAGCAGTTGTTCCACTTTTTGTCAGGTTTTGTGTTTATTTGTTCACGAGTATAACATGTAAACCTAATGCATTTGTTGTTTGCCTACTCAAGTTTTCATCCATTAGACAGCCGAGCAGGGTGAAATCAACTAGTGATTCTAGATGATAAAAATAACTGGATGAAATTGAAAGAATCAGAGACAAAATAGTTAAAAATTTAAAGTGGATCTTTGCTACCATGCTATGCTACACGTTATAAAATTGTACATTTCCAATCCTCACTTTGTTACTTAACTGTTTGGAATCAGATAGCTCACAATTTTACTCGATCGTCTAATGACGCTGGAAGTGATTAAATTTTGGCAGTAAAATACTTTCTCATAAATATGTGTTATCAATTCAGACAAACAGCCAGATGAAATCCACGTAGTACCTCGCACACAGGTACATCGGCTCAAGTCCCCATACATCACAGTTGTATACACAGAACAGACGGAAATAAAATTAGCGATATCGAAGTAGACGAAGTTGTATGGGAGAATGAACAGTTTGGAAATACATCGAATATTCCCATTTATACATTTGGAAAAAAGACTGAGTGAAGAAATATATTCCCTTTCAATTAGGTCTTCGCTTGCTTCACATGGTGTAGGCGATTGCAATCCACCTTTATAAACATAACCTTTGTGTTCAAACGAAGTTTGTTCGACCACTTTCAACATGATATAACTGCTAATATTGCTTTGTACACCTCTTCCCCTCTTGTTTCTTTCAATATTCATTTATTTTCTTATTACGTAATCACTATTGTTCATGACTGAACACTTCACTTCATTTACCTCAGAATATCCTGTTTCATATTTCTAATTTTAATTACTCTACTAATTATTTACATCCTAATTTCTAAAACATCTTCATAACTTAAAAATCTATAATTATTGTTCACCAACCCCTCACCATTTGATTGATATTTTGATTGAATTGTAGAGCCCAATACGAAGGCCTAATTGAAAAGGAATATATTTCTTCGCTCAATCAATCTTTTTTCTAAGTTTAAAGATAATCGTTAGTGCAAATATTCCAAACTTAAGATGTCTAAGAATGAATACATCTGTGCCATTGTAACCGATTTTCAGCCTTGTCACCAAGACTCCTCAACTACTGAATCCAATTAACTGTAGCCAGCTAATCTTCATCTCCCTATATGGCTCAGACCAACGGTAAGAGACTTCATAGATTGGCGCCATATCTTGGTTCGATCACTCTGAACACTCTTCCAACCTGATCCAACTTCCCTAGCTCAACATGGCACGTCGATGTAGGTGGTGACTTGGTATGCTCGGTTCATGTCCAAGCCATCTCAGTCGACTAAGGTTCACATACTCATCGACTTTTCTGTCTTATTTAGTAATCTTCGCCTGACCTCAACATTGCTCACACAGTGGTTCCACTATAGGTAAACAACGCTGCAAGACACCTATGATCAAAATCGTGTAATCGCTTCATGTCACAGCCTTGTAAACAGGACAGGGAGGACTGCACCTTAGTTTACTCGTCCTTTGATAGATAGTCGGATATCTCACCAGTTAGCGCCAGAGATGGTGATGCGAGTTAGCAAATCCCAAAGGAACCTCTTGTATCCGATCTGAGATGCACCCTATGACTGCACAATCTCTTTCTAACTCTAGATAGGATTCTCTATTTCTGCCCATAATGTTCGCTTTTTATGTTGACACATTAACTAATAATAGGCTTCATATTGAAGTTAGTGCTGATAATGTCGTCTAGAAAAACGATGAAAGCTTCACGATTAAACAACCCATCTCAGAGAACACAACACAACCAAGATCATCCACCTGAGCTACAAATATTCTCCACTTTATATTGGGTGGTGATTGAACGTGAGACAAAAATGAGGTCGCGGTCCAGATTTTCATCTCACCTTCAATCATCACCCAGTATAAATACTAGTCCACCAAACTACGGCTGTCTCAGATAGTCAAATCATAATTAATAATAGACTTCTGTTTGTTTTTACCATGAATACCACTATTGAAAATGATTCATCGAAGAGAAAACCTTGCTTCGCTGAATTATTTTGTGTTTATTGGGATATATTTAGACTCGATTACATGCATCTTTTTTCAATTTCGCTGCAGTAAGATCACATCCGTGATTCTCAGGCTTATTTGATAGTATCGACTGAACATTTTTTTTAGCTAAAACTCAAGTTTGACCTTATGTGCTCCAGTTAGAAAACCTGAACATTTTGTTCCCTTGATAACAACCCACTTTATAAGGCTAAAAATGAGCTCAATCAGTATATAATTAGTCGCTTCATTACTTTTCCACTGACTCACAGGGTTATGCGCGAATAGCATACAGTGAAGTAGTTGTGACAATTGTTGAATATTGAGAGATTTGGACCCTAATACTTCACCTATTGTAATACTGATTAAAAGTATAACTCTGGTTCACCATATTGAGGATTTCTTCTGCATTCGAAGGTGATTCACGTATGATCCCACCATATGACGTCAATGCTGCGAAAACACTTCGGTCAAAAGTTGTAGTTTCTTCATACCTTCCACTTTCAACTGCCATGTTTCAGTATCTGTAAGTTGATAAAGTGCTCTGTTGCACAGAATATTAGTCTTTGAATGGTGAATGAGTAGTCAGATTTCTCACCGGTTTCATAAGTAGTGTATGTGTTCTATTACTGATCTTGCCTTCTCTGTCTAAGATGAGATTTCATAAACACCTAATTTTTTGGGTGCGATAGCAACATTTGTGAGAACAACATGTTGGTCAGTCAGTCTGTATTGTAAAGTTTCATAGATAACTGTCTTATTGAGTGAAATGACATGCGAAGCGAAGAAAGGCACTTAGGATTGTTGAGTCTGGTGCTACGATAACCAAAAATTCTTCAGTTTAGCTTCATTTTCAGTTATTGATCCCGTCATATTGTCTAATACTGGTGATTTTTTACAATCTTATTTATACACTATTTTCATTTAATTTACAGCTTTTTTCCAATTTGTTTCTTTAACGATAGCGTTTCATCTGCCGTGCAATTCGTGACCATCTTCTAGCCAACTGGTTATCCCTTCTTGCCATAAGTCCAGTTACACTGCAAATGTATGAACCAAGAAGTTTTCTACTGAATCCTAATTTACGAGAAACAATTCAAGACTTGTTGATTTCATTAGATGAATTCAATTTCCCATTCGAAGCAACACTTCTAGGAGAAACGTAATCATTTTCATTTCATTTGTTGTCGGTTTTTAATTCATGTTGGTCTTTACTTTTGGTTTTAAAAGAAATGTCTTCATGCATTTCAACATGATCTATGTTTATTTCATATTTTCTTTAGCGTCCCCCCTATTAATTACGTTTATTACTTTGTAAGTTGTTCTCGATTTCTCCTTTGGTTAGTACTACTATTACTTTCCTATTGATCTTCTTGGTTCTTACAATTTTTCTTTGTTTGAAGTTGAAGAGAATTGCTCGTTCATGAGACGCATTTTACCTAATAATGTATTCGTTGTAATACAGTCTTCATTCTAAATTATTCATTAATTTTACACGATTATGTGCAATATAATATTTGTGTATAATTAAGTGAACAAGAATTAATCCTGTATATCTATCCGTCCATCTGTATCCTTAATCATTCAACGAATAACGAAATAAATCTGCTTTGCAATTTTCAAAATAATTCTCCAATCTATCCATCCTTCTCTATTGATATATGCATTTATTATGAGATGATAGACAGGCAAACTGATATAAGCAGTTTTATTTATTGGTATTACATCATTAACTTTTTTTCCTTGGCAGTGATAATGACATTAGTGGAATTGTGTACAACTTCTTTGTTCTTTTAAAATTTTCAACTCAATTTTCCAATTTATTATCTTTCGAATGATTAAAGAATGAAAAAGGCATGAATTGAAAAAAAATTCCACAACGGAAACATACAATTGTTTAATTATTCAAATATAATTTTATTGAAGTGAACTGTTAGCTTTTATTTCTCATTACAATTTTTATTTACGAATTGCTGTCTAATTTGATCTATTCATTATTGAATCGCTTGTCTGATGTTGTTTTTTTTGCGTTAGGCAGGAATGCAACTTACTAATCACATGCAAGTTCTCGCAGCTGGAATGAGACCCTGTGTCATGTCGGAGTTAAAACCTGTGACTTCAACATAATTGCTCAGAGTTCTACTGATTGAGCTGTGAAATCCAACTGTTAACCAGGGTGCAGTTTCACATAGCGTAGTTGGTAGGGTATTGGGTAGATATTCGTAAGCCACTAGCTCGAACCTTGTTTCGACTCAGCTCTCGTTTAGACTTTAGAAACAACAGTCTTCAAACTGAAAATGTCTCTGTTAGTCTTGTTAAAAGTAATTCGTATGAGTAGCTGGTTTTGATGTATTTAACCATGTTCATCCTAATAATAAGAAAATGTAATGAAAAGAAGTTGCGTGTAGATTTTCATACAACTGGATAGGACTGAGTTATTACAGCATATATGTTTATTCAGGTAGCTATTAAAGGAAGAAGACATCTATACTTCAAAGTCGAAATGACATTGATTTCAAATGCCTCCTGCAAAATGTTCAAATAAACAAATTAACGACTTAATACTTCACGTTATAGCGCACGATCTGCGAATATATTGTGACTCTTCAATGTTGTTGTTTTAAAATAACCTAGTATTTCGATGGATATTAGATTGAACCGACTTGTTATTTTCGAATTCCTACTTATTTTTAGACTTGAGGATTGTGCCTAGAAGCCTACCTCGACGTGCCATGCTCGCGGAAGTTGGATTTGGTTAGAAGAGGGTTCAGGACAGTCAGACCAAGACCTGACATCAGTCTGTGAAGTCTCTTACTGTTTTTCTGAGCTATGTGACTGGAATCCTCTGAAACCGTAAGAATCAGTAGTTGAGGACTCTTAGTGAAAAGTCTGGAAACCGGTCGCTGTGGGGAGATACATTCACTCTTTGACATCTGAAGTCTGAACATTCTCACTAGCGATTATCTTCAAATTGTTTATTCTCTCACACAGCTTTGTCTACTTTGATATCACTCTCTTTCTATCCACCTGTTCTTTGTATACTACCGTGAAGTGTGATGACTTGAGCTGATATACCTGTTTACGAGGTTCTGTGACGAATTTTTAAGTCAGTCTGTCATTGTGTATATGAGACGATTTTCTTCTATGCTGCAAGTTAAAAACAGTTGCCCTACATACATAAGTTATGCTTTATTACTTTTATACACTCTCCCATAATTCATCTCTTTCTTCAAATAATTTTCTCCTACCATCTGTCTCATTTCAAGTTTATTAACGTTGACTTACGATTACTGTTATATTACTTTTGAATTATATCGCTCTTAGTTGTGTTTACTAAGGAGTTCAGCATAGATTATCTTGTTTTAACTTGCGTTTTCAGAGTTGTAAATGATATTGATAGGAATTCAGCAAAAGAATATCATGAAATAACTGTTTTTTCGATTTTATAATTCTCTCTTGTTCACTTTCTATTGAACAGAATTGAATGTTCTATTTCAGTTTCTTTCCAGACGGCAGCACACTTGGATGGCGTCCGCAGTAGGAGGTTACTCACGTCCTAGTTTTCCCTGCTGATTGCTGATAATTGTATAAACATATATCGACTTTTTGTCAGTGACACGTTTTAGGCTACCCTCACGTATTGATGATATGAATTCGCCGTACTAATCTACTCATTATTCAATCTTGGAAACTACAAGATATTAGCTACCGAATTGCATCTTTTCGTTGCGCCTTCAGTTATCGTCTACTGCCTTAACGTAATGGTTGGATTTTCTTGTAGCGTTGATCCATTCAAGCGATACTGGGTTTAACATTTGTTAAGTGTGATGTTTTCACTTTTCCAAGACCTATCGATATATATTAAAATTAAAAGTATATACAGCCTTATTGTGAATAGCTGGACTATGTATGATAAGGCTTAAATGCATGCTGCTTATCTGTACTTAGATAAGTGTAGGTTGCTCATTTCTAATCGTCAGTCTCCAATAGTGTTAATTGATTACTTTCATGTTCCTATAAATCAATTTCATTTGATTCTATCATCCTAAGGCTGGAGTTAATTTTAAGAAAAAGGAATATAAAATTCGACTGTGTTAAGTTAACGTTTCCTGAAGTGGATCTTTTCATTCTTCTCACTCGATTGCTTAAGTTTGTGGGTCACACCACCACTGGAGCTTAAAAACTATGTACACTTTTATATGCTAGACTATGGGCCACATTCAAAGTTTTAAATGACCAGTGTCTGTAATCTCTTCTAATTGTATACCTGTAACAGGCTTTGTAAAATAGGTTTGAAACTTGTTTTCATTGTGATCAGAGTCGAGAACCTATCATGTTTGAAGACTCCAGAATTGCAGGAAATTACTGCTCACAACTTGTTGTTCTTCACCGATATTGAATTATGACTAAATATGTATTCGGAATTGACTTAATTGCAGAAAAGAGAATTCTGAATAGCTGTACCTTGATCCACAATTTCTTTCTAGAAATAATCTAAATAAATATATTTGCCAATTTGAAAATTAGCTCCCAATTTTTTGGAAATGATGGGAAAGATTTGTAACTCAGAATGAGGATGATTGTGGTCTGGATGCACATGCACCCAGTAAGTGATGTTCCCACTGAGATTTGAACCTCGTGCCCATAGCTTCTAACGCCAAAGCGTTATGTGCTAAGCAAATGAGGCACGATAGCCATCTCTTTTAAAACGGGTATTGGTTAATAATATTTTTTATACTTTTAATTCTATGTTGTTATACTGGATCCAATTGATCGACCTCTATTGGCATATAGGCTCATGTAGGATTCCTCGACATTGTCGGTATTTTCAAATTTGATATTAGTGATGGATAGTGGCTGGCAGTGGAATACAGGACATACCTTTCGTTCTTTTTGAATCGATTGATTTCGGGTTCGTGTCTCATTGAGAACAACATCGTGCTTATTGGATTTCACTTTTAGCCACCACCAAGTCAATTATAACAGTAATTATTAATACAGTATTAAGCCATCCGTTTAGGAGCCCATATGCCGATAGAGGTCGGTCAATTCGTTCCAGTATAACAACGGACAATTACAGGCATCAACAAAAAGTAATATCTCTAGATGCTTTTCAGAAATCCGACAATGGGCCTGTTTAGCCCTATGCCTTATGCAACAACGTTCAAATAAGCTGTTTAACCAATGGATACGTGTAAAAGAAGCAGAATTAGTTAGTTCATTTCTATTTCATGCATCTTGAACTGGCGGTCTATAGAAGACAGGATATCTTTCTTCATAATATGTTACTTTGTTTTCTAAAGTTGAACAGATTTGCGCGTTTGAAATGGAGGTAGACCATTGAATTTTACTTCTATGCGCTTTCTCTGCTTTATTCAACAAAATCGGTTGTTCTCTACCTTTGCAATACAGATTTTTGTGCTGGCAGAATTCGGCGTAACCATTCCTTATAAGTAATGTACAAAAAGTCGAAAACTTCACAAAATGCTCGAATCTCTTTCATTACCTTTTTTGTGTAGCTTCAATGAATACCTCTTGCATCAGCACGGATATACCAACCGTGTTAACCTTAGCTTCGTTGGCGCAATATGCATACATGTGTTTCATCTGCGTGATAAGCGTTTTCAACTATTTTCGAGGTCCTCATATAGACTTCAAAATACGTTCCATTTGAAAATTAAAAATTTTTATTTCGCTTTGATAAATGATTTGTTTTGAAGACAACGCAAGTTACAGTCAAAATATAATTGATGACCACTAGAGCATGCGTATAGTACTCTTCTAGGTAGTTCGACCAGTTCTTAAGAATTTCAACCGAATCTTCATTTCACTAGTTTACCATTTTATATTGGAAATATATAACTTCTCATTATTTTATTTTCCTCCTCCAAATCAGCTTAAACGATGTAGGTAAGCTAACTGTCTGATTATTTATGAGATTTAAAACAATTTGTCGATTTTAAGAAGTTAGTATATTGGAAGACGAAGTATTTCTGAGCAATTTGGCGTATTTGGGCTATATATTTCGAACATCAATATGAGAGTAAAACTTGGGCACTGTGATACGCTGTAATTCCCGTTTAGTTTGTTTATTAGATATAACACAGTGAAACTATCATTTACTTGAATCTTGTATAGAGTTGACTTTGGTGCTGCCTAACTTCTTCAACGGTGTGAAATTTTGATAAGTACTTGTGAGAGACAACCCTCTTCATCTATATAGGAATGAAACTCGGGCACTGCGTTAGATTTTAATTCCATTTTAGTCTGTTTATTAGAAATATCACACAGGAAACAGTATCGTTTACTGGATAACGTTTCGGACACAATTTATAGTCCATATTCATATCAGGTAACAGAGTTTACATATTCCTTATTTTCTCTCCTTCTTTGTGACAAGGGTTTTAGAATTCTCCATATATCTGGGACAGGTTCAGAATCAGTTCTATTGCATGTATTTGGTGTTGATTCGATACACAAAGATTTAGTTATCAATCTCTCCCTCCACCCAACTATGTTAGTTTTTAACGCTGTCACTCTATCCCACCCTACTGTGTGATTGCGTGCAGAGCTATAGCCGTGCTTTTTTCTAAATTTCTTATCTTCTTAGGGTCTACTAATATTGATTTAGATAAGTTTTTGTGCTCTGTTATTCTGATTGACCCTGGTCGACTACTATTACTCCTCATCTATAGTTGAACATATAAAAACGGGTCACAAAATCATTTTTCTAACAGCTTTCAAAGTTTTACCCAGAAACAGTCAGGGATACATACTGAGATTTACCGAAGTGATAGCCATACGCAAATAGATGCCGTATTTGTATATACAGAAACAACTTGTTCTAGCACTACACCTTCATTGGTAAACTTTGTTTTCGTAGCAAAATTATTATCTAGTATGTCACTCTACTTTTTTGCCATCTTTTAAAAATGTAATCCCCGTATTATCTTAGCTATTCTATCTGTCCTCTCATTCTTCAGTTTAACATCAATTGACGTGACAAGTAAATTTGTGATCAGATTGTTCGAAATGTGTTTCGCAAATACATCACACTGTTCAGATAAACTTTGTCTTCTGCTCATACTTTCTAAGAATGAGGTTGTCCAAGCAAATTCAACTTGCAAAGTAGTGGACTGGTAGACTTCATAATTTTCTGCGTTTTTCTCCAACTTGTTCCAACTACAGTCATATTATGTGTTTTTCTATGTATATTTATTCAACTTAATAAGTGTATCTACCTGCTTCTTACTCTTATACATTTCAGATACTTTTCAGTCTACTATTACTTCATCTTTCCACATTTGACTGCGGTTTTATTCATTGAGCACATACATATGTATGATGAATGCACCTCACAGTCATCGCGTAGTATTCAAAAGTTTACTTCTCGTCAGTGGAATAAGCTTGGCCTCTTATTGGCTCGCTTCAAGTATTTATGATATGATATTGCGAAGCAAATATACCAAACGTCGTACAAAGAAACAAAGTGAAAACATTCGTGCTAAGAAACGTTTCTGTGAATACTTGAAGGAAAATCCTCTTGTAAGCAACTTTTGTCTCCATTTAATCAGTCGGGAGAAGGCTTTTAGTCAATGTAAACATGTTATAACATTCAGATTTTACTACTATTAAGCAAGATATGTTAGATTTTTATGATAGATAACTTATATTCACTGGTATCTTTGCTGTTCGTTTGAGGGGATTGACGAGGGTTCCAGGGAATTTGTATAAATCTTTTATTTAATCAGCAAGATGTCCCTCAAAATCGCGGGCCACTTTAGTCCGAATTTTCTTGACATCACATTCGTGCATCCGATACTCATTTAATTTTGTTAGTAAATCGACCCCAGTTCTAAGTATATCGTGGTTTGGCATTTAGCTACAAAATTAGGTTGGGCTGATTGTTATGTGCACTCAACTTTCAACCATTATCATGGGTTCGAACCCCACCTCACTTTGCAAGGTTTAGATAATGAGTTAGTATAGTAAACCGTTGCATAATTCCTTTAACTTGCTGTTTAATTCATAAGCCTGCACGTCTCACATAGTTCCATTTCACTTTTTCCATTCAGGTTGATAACTTTTTTATAGTGTTCTCTGAGCTGGATGCTTTAATCGCAGATCTTTCATTGTTATTCTAGACGACATTATCACTACACAACACCCTCAAAATCATCCTTCTAAGCTACAAATATTCTTCATGATAACTTTTGTGCCTACTGGAACGCAAAATGATTTATCCTCATACACCTGTGCATGTTCAGAAAGCTGAAAAACTCATGTAAATAGGCGTTAACTGGTTTTAATATAACATATTCCTGTCCACCTGCGTGTTATCGAGGCAAGATATTAGATAATACTTCAGCGATGGGTGTACAAGAAGTTGGTGTGGACCAGAAAGATAAAGATAAATGATCTTCACAAAGCTGCAACAAACAGTTCGCATCATCTAACACGTTACCAATAGCTAGTTATGGACGAATCAAATAAATCTCATAAACATTCAATTTCTTTGCCACTAATACAATATCCATCAAGCGTTTTGATTAGAAACATCTTTAAGTTAATGAAAAACTCTTTCTTGCTGCAACCCCTTGAGGAGCCTTTGGAGATCATCAAAGGACGTTGTTTCCATTGTCATTCATTTTTTGTGTGTTTCGGCAACTTTCTACCGTAACAATTGTCAGCGGATATCCAGTAGAATAGTTAGTTGTATCCTTTAGTACCGATAATATTCAGAGTTTAATACTATTGCCACAAGTTAGTATTGTCATATCATGGGCTCTACTCTGTTTCACTCTTGTAGAAAAGCCACTGTCACATTGCGACAGTCAATAAATTTTTCTTGGCATAGGCTATTGATACATACCAAGGCATTTCAGAATAATATGTCCCGAGTAATGAAGAATTGTTTCGTTGTATGTTTTAATGAATCCAAAGTGCTCACTGTCGATGTCACTTGTAATCCAAGAAATGACATTTAGATCATTTGGTGTACTTATGTATTCAGGAAATTTGTTATCAATGTTTGTATATTCTGCTGTGCCTTCCAAGTTGGTGGGTCGTTACTTTGAAGGAAATTCAATTACGTAACAAATTCCAGCCTAACAGTTGTAGGTTATTTGCAGCATCTTAAGTCAATTGAGCACTCTGTAAGTGTACTCATCTACAAGCCAGAAGTGTCTTCATTATTCAAATCATGTATTCACTATCTCTGAATCTTTAAAATTTGGTAAATTTTAGGTGGCATTCATCACCGACTGACATCAGTTGGGAAGTCACTGAAAACCTGGGTGCGTTCTGCTGAGGAGTCCTGTACTAGGACAAAACGGCTGTCCAGTACTCCTCCCAGGTTCTCAATGATTCTTCAACTGATGTCAGTCTATGGTGAATGCTACCATGGACAATAAATCCCTATAAACTTCAAAATACATTACTGTTCAATTTTTAATAAATTATAGTATACACAGAATCTAACAAAAGAAAAATCAAGTCAACATATCATCTAATTGTAACTACTCTTTTTAGAACAAATATATAACTTCTGTGTAGAAAATCATTTATTTCTATAACTAATCGCTTATTTGTTAAGGAAATCAATCCAGCTAGTCAACGATTCTACAAGAATTATAGTCCACTGTATGCCACAGATACAGATAAATTGGCTTCTTTAACATGTTGCTGTTACTTTTGTTGTTTCATTTTTTTTCACCATCAATTTTACTCCAGTCTGAAAAAAAGATCAAGCAGATTGTTGAGAAACCATTTTGTGAATTGATCAAGTGTTTAAAACATGGAGAATTCACTCCACAGAAAGTGCTGTTAGCCTACCAACACAAAGCATTCAAAGTAGATCAACAATGTAATTGTGTTGTTGAATTTCTTTATCCAAATGTAAGTTTTCTTTTTTTTTTCTGTTTTTTCTTCTCTAGACTGTTTTTCTTCTGTCTAGATGAAATTTTAACTTGCTACTGAATTCAGTTTTCCTTATCTTTATCGTGTTTTTTTTTGTTCATCACACTTTGATTATCAGTCTGACTATCTGAGATAACCGTGGTTCGGCAAACTTGTGTTGATACTGAGTGATGTTTGGAAATGAAAGTTTGGTGGGCGACAGGATTCTAACCAGTGACCACTGGGTTTCTGGACTGCTACTCTGCTAACTGAGCACCTTCAGTCATCAACCAGTATCAATACAAGCCTGCCAAACCATGACAGATAGTCAAATTGATATTCAATATGAGACTCACCTCTATATCTCAAGTAGACTTGGACTGAGGTGAGAAGTCCTCATCGAGCGCCCAACATGAGTACGATCAAGCCATAGTAATTAATGTATCACGGATTCACATGCCAGTCGGACAAAGCCCTTAGTGATCGAAGTGAAATAAAAATCTGGTCAGCAGTCGGGTCTTTTAGCTCAGTTGGTAGAGTAACGGTCCAGAAACCCGGTGCTCGGTGTTTTGAATCCTGCCATGCCCCAAATTTCCATTTCACCTTTAATCATTGGCCAGTATCACCATACTTCATGTTGATTAAAGTTTTCAGTTATTCAGCTGTGTAGCGGACCGAAAGAACAGAATATAAAAAATAAATATTTATTATGCGCCAATGTGAGTAGTGTAAAAAGGGTAACGAAAACGAGAAAAAAACAAGTAACAAAACAGATTTATTGATAATGACGACAGACAATGAGAAATTAAAACATTAATTTACTTGGGAGCAGAGCTTTTGTCAAATGTACCACAAATTTGTCTCAGTATTGCGATCGGAATGCTGAACTATATGACAGTGATGACGCTGAATACACAATGCAGCTATGTGGATTGTTAATAATTTGGGGATGAAGGGAGTATTTTCTTGTAAAGTTTCCAGAATACTTGATCATCACAAGTCATACACATAGTCACAAACAAACAGAATTCATTAGGAGTGAAAGACAGTTAATTTTTAATGCAACATAATTGTTTTGGTACGAAATTAGGTAGTGCATATAACCATATTTTTTTTTACAGTTTAAGGAAAATTTATGAATGGCAACACTACTTTAGCAGTCTCGATAGGAGTAGTTTGTTGTTTAATAGTTAAAAGCTGTGGATAGAAATTCTCGATAAGGTATATTTCTCCAGTTTTAAATGAGCTTACTTCTAATTGGATACAAATTTAGTCATTGGACTTCAATGTGCACCTGTTCTCATAAACGTTCTATCGACTTTGACGAACCACCCACTGGATTAGTCATTAACTTTATGTCTTCTTTGAGGTAGTGAGCTTGGTGAAAATGTAAAGTAACTTCATCTTTGAGTTTACATCTTATGATCGCCATTGTCATTGTATTATGTACATTAAGTTGCAGTATATAATTCATATGCAAAACACGTTCCTCCTTCCGATAACTTGACTCCATCAAAACTCCTTGTGCTTACAGATTTTAAAAATATCACAGACTGTTGCATTGTTGAAGGTATATAGCGTCTTGTGTTTAGTTGTGGAACTCATGTAGTTATTGCGTGCGCAGTTGCATAGTGCTTGTGTTTATGGAGAAGGTATATCACGTCAGTAGATTGGTTGAATTTGTAAATTACATTTAAACGATCTATTCAAGATTCAGTTTCTTTTGCATATTTATTAAAAAAATCTTTACAAATCGCCTGTCGATCCCATTTTTAAGCTCCGGCAATCCGTGATTCTGTTATGGTTTATTCATTCAAATCACGTGACCGCTGTACCAACTCTTCGACACAAGCTCTGGGAAAGATCAAGCATATTCATATTGAAAAAGACAAACTGAGAGTGTCTTTCGACGTTACAGCTCTATACACCGCAACGAAACCAAATCTGACTGACGATACAATGACTCTTCTCCTCAACAATGATATACACCTCTCGCAGCACACACAACCACACTGTTCAAGTGTGATGGAATCAATTGACTTACCTATCTCAGTTCAATGGCAAACTTTACAAACAGACAAAGGGAACACTAAGGGGATTGCCTCCATCAGGACTAATTACAGAAGCAGTGATGCGAAGTTTGGATATAAATAAAACTTTGGGTTCGATGTGTAGATGACGCGTTTGTCATCCATAAAAGACACGAATGGGAAAACGTTTAAAAAATTATTCAACAACATTTTCGATGACATCAAATTCACAAGTGAAGAGTAATCAAATAAGAAAACCTGCATTTTATGTGTTCTGATCACTAGTTAGGATTCGGAAAAGTTGGGAACTGAAGCATACGGAAAGCCGAATTATACGGATCAAATTCTCAATTACAATAGCAGCAATCCAACACCACACAAAATCGGTTGTGCAAAAACACTTCAAAAAAGCAAAGACACTGTAGTACATCAACCTTACAGAGAAAAGAAGAGAACTATTCAATGACTGCTCTCCAGACGAATCGTAACCCACGCAACAATCAAAAGTTGTTTACATAATTCGTCCCCAACCAATAAGTCAACCTTGAAAACTAACAAACTGCTTGTCCCACCTCACATGAAGAACGTCTTCGAGATAGTGGCTAGATTATTGAAGCCTTTTGCGATCGCTGTTGTTTACAAGCTCTAAAAATCTCTCTAGTCTCCCCTATGAAACCCAAAGGATACAATAGCAAAGGAAGACAAACCAAACATTACCTACAAAATAAACTGCAGAGACTGCGGAAAACACTACATCAGACAAAGTGGTCGTCCTCTTTCCATCCGTCTACGTGAAAATCAACTAGCGGTGAAGCATCACGACATATCTTCGCTCATAACAATGCATATGGATAACTGTGGATATGAATTTGAATGGAAAAATGTGGAAATCCTAGGTACAGGAAATATAAAGTACGCCAGAGAATTTTTAGAAGCTTGGTATTCAGGTCAGTCAGCAGTCAACAAATATATTGACGCTGATCCAATCTATCAACTAATAAGAAACAAAAAGGTCAAATTTCAGATCATCAGGACAAGCTACTAAATAAATTATGGAGAAAACCTTATGCCTCACTTCCTTCCGAAGTTTGTGCTGATGATGTTGTCCAGAATGACAGTGAATGCTCTACAAGTAAACCATCCAGCTTGGAAAGTAAAACACCATCAAAAAAATTTATCACTTCTGTTACCGTAATCTATTCGCATACTGACAATATAACTTTCCGCATCTATCAGCCGTTTCATACCTATACCTGTATCTTGTAAATCTATTGAAAACAATACAAGATGTGGTAGAATAACTGTGCAATCTGCTTAATCAGAATAATAAAACATGAAACCGAAACTGTCTGACACTGATTGGATATTGGTAACTTGCATAATGTTTATGCGTACAATAGACAAAATGAATTGGATTATCAGTGAATGGGTGTGTGTATGCGTGTGTTCTCATTCATAGCGTTTTGGTATTTTTAGTGTAAACTTTATAGCACATTTCAGTCTATTCTTGTTGTTTTGTTCTCTAGTTCGATGAAATCAATCTTAATGGTCCGTTGGCAGGAGCACCGGTTAGTATAAAAGAGAACCTTAATATTAAGGTAAATTGTTGCTCGTATGAATTTAATTTACCAACTTCGTAATTTTTAATGCATAATGGGTCGATAGAGCTTCAGTGAATTTAGTAAAAACTTTCATGACAAACTGGTTAACAACTGAAGAGCATGAGCTAGCTAGCCGTTTTATCTTCTAGTTTTTCGATTTCATCAAAAGTGTACGCATCGTCAATATTTTCTTACAAGTCATTACATTTAAGTTTTCTATTAAGCATTTTATGATTCAATCAATCTGTTTGTTGTGATTGGTTTTGAAATTTTTGTGTCATCGTTTTAATCCCCTGATGGCACAATGAGATTTTCCTGATTTGTACTCACGATGTTTAAAGCTGACCGTCCATATCCTTTCTGGCAATATTGGAAACAAGTCGACTTGAGTGGAAAAATGGAAATCATCAAGTTCTTAACTAGTGAGTCAAAAGTCACTCATTTACCATATTGGACAAGGTTGAAGCACACATCTTTAACTGATTAGTAATAGAAATAATATTTTAACGAAAACCTTCCTAGAAACTCTCCTTTTCTTGACCCATTCATCTCTGTCAATTACAATTTTCTCAGAAATTTGTCTTCTGGATTGGCTCAGTGATTTTACACATTATTAGCTATACGAAGTATACTGGGTGAGCATATAACAGAAGTATCAAAGAAATTATTTATCCAACGAAGGTGCGATAAAACAAACAGATTATTTAATTTATCTTGATTGGTGGTATGTGAGTAGGCTAGCCAATAGGATAGATAACTTAAACCACTCAGTAAAACAATCTGGATGTGTGCTTTTCGATTTAAACCGGTTTGATTCTTTGTTGCTATTCTCATCCTGTTATTTTGTGCTAACTAATGTAAACTGACAGATTAAACCCACTATATGTGTATGATCTTTTTATTTTAGGGTAGTGAAAGTCATGCAGGAATGGTTAAATTCCTAAATGGCCCATCAAGTGAAGATTCTTACATAATACAAGTAATTAAATCGTTTGGTGGTGTACCATTTGCACGTACAAATGTACCTCAATCAATGTTCAGGTAGATTTCTTTTACCAGTTTGTTTGTGTTATCCCTGTGATACGAAGGCCAGATATTAAACTGAAAAGACTCCATATTTAAATCATAGTAATCTTCACAAAGTTATCGACTTTATGGGTGATACTCTTAATAAATACTTCTTTGAAATGAAATTCTACAGAGGATTTCATCATGCTGCTATGATTTCCAACTAAAGACAGGTTATATTTATTCCTTTTTTGCTGAAATCTGAAAGAATTTTGAAGATTAAATGGTTTTGATGTTATTAGTTGTAACTTCTCGTCACTGATTGGACTGAATTGTTCAGCCACCTTGTGGCATATGGACTCCTGTACGGAAGCCTCGATACTGTCTGAATATTTATTGTTATAATTGACTTATTTGTGGTCAGCAGTAGAATCCACGATACGCATTTCGTTTTATTTGGGACTCGTCATTTGGATGTACCTGCACCTCAGTGAGTGATGTTGTTCCCACTAAGACTAGAACCTAGGACCAATCGTTTCAAATGAGACCAAACGCGATTCATGAATTTCACTACTAGTCACTACCCACTAATAATATCAAAATTGATAATACCGGCAATATTGGGGCATCCTCATAGGAGTTCGTAGGCCAATAGTGTTACGATCCAACGCTATAGATAACGATACAACTCTCCGAGACGATTAACGATAGAACAATGACTTCTCAACTCGATATTCAGCTGACACCAGAAGACGATGGGATTGAAAGTTTATTTACACCAACCGAATTTTAATAGGTGAAAACTAAGTCGTTTATATACCCTTAGATGGCCTTAGCTAGAGAAAACAAATTAGCCTATTAAAAATGTGAAATGGGCCAATCAGCGTTTAATAACCTAAACTACGGCAAAAATAAGCAAGATAGCATAGTGCAAAAAAGGCGCGAAAATAAGGCTTAAACTTAACAATGATAATATAAACATATGATAGGTTAGTTGTCTTAGCGACTTACCATCCCTAACTAATAGTTGCCGATCGACACGATAGAGATTTACAAGCTATAACATCCAAACTACACTGTACTTGTCTCACAAGGAGTGCCTTTTGTGACTCAGTGGATAACGCATTAGTGCCTGAAGCAATTGGTCATAAGTTCCAGCCTTAGTGGGGACAGTATCTCTCCCTGTGGCGCAGGTACATCCAGCTGACAAATCCTAAATAGGCAAAACGGGCATCCTATATATATATATATATATATATATATATATATATATATATATATATATATATATATATATATATATATATATATAGGATATAGGATGTATATATAAACTTATTTATCTCTATGCTACCCTGATGGTGGGACCTTCTAATGCGTGTAATCCGAAGCGATGCATGAAATGTATTGATAATTCGCTAGTGCAAATTTGCAATCGGTATTCTAGCATACAATTCACATCTTTATCGAAGTTTTGAATTAGTCTTTTTACACTTTTGTCTCCATATTACAGCTGCCTAGTTAGTGCCACTTGTTATTAAGTTGAACAAACTACTTGTTTAAGGGTAACGTTGGTGTTACTTACGAGCAGTTAGTTGTAAGAATACAATAAAAGTAACTGGTTACCTTTATTGTCTCACTGGATCAGCATTTTAAAAGCAAAAACTCCAATTCTATATCCGAAACAAAATGTCATCTCTTTGCACAAACTTGAATTATGTAGGTATGCTTCTTTCCAAAAGTCTCTAAGTGAATTTTGTTTCATTTCTCAGCTTTCACATATTTTGGTATTACAGTCTATTCTTTGTATTACGTAAAAGTTTCTCATATACTTTCTTACTAAAGTGCCCTATTCATTATTTAACATATCAAGTGGCTTTCGCAGACAAATAATACGAATATTACACTTGAAAACTGTTGTATTATAAAAAATGTTTAAAAGGAAAGCCTAATCAATAAACAATAAATTCTTTATCGCTCAAGAATACTTGCTCAAATGACACCTTTTCTTGTATGAAACAAACAACTAAGAAATTTTCAAAACACCAGCCAGATAATTCGAATATATGCAAGTAGCAACGAACATTCATTATTTTGGTTTTTGCACTTTCCAGTGAGTATAAAATAATGAACAACCTTTACCCAACACTCAGTTTTTTCAAACCATCGAATCCCAGCTTGGTTTCCTTATGCATAATAGCTAAGAACATTTTTTTCAATTCATTTAATCAAATGACTTCTGTATATGTAGTGCATAAAACGACTCTGTAACCTGTTCATTATACCTCTTGTATGCAGCTGTAAATTTAAGATATTTTCTGCTGCCGACCACTAGCTGCTACCTTGAAGTGGTGATCGGGCTTGCCTTTCACAGTGGTTTAACCAGCTATGCTGATGGAATGCGTGTTCCCTCGAGGTCCTACCCTACCAGAAATGTCTTTTAGGCAGTGGTTAGAAGAAGAAGTTACCGTTATGATGCAAATCACTGCACTATGATGGGGGTTCTAGATCGAAGTCGGATGGGGTGTGACAGCAGTTAGGTGTTTCCCTGGAATGACCAGCAGTACCACTCTGAAGCTACCTTCTATATGCGAAGAGGCTAGGGTTGAATGAGGCTGGTCCACAAAACAGCTCACCTCTACTCTGCGGCTTACCGGTACCAGTGATGTGTCTTTATTGTCTGACTTGCAAAAAAAACTAATCTGTTAAACTTCTAAAACAGCTATATGTGACAGGCCTCAACCAAAAGTCATTTGGACTCTATGGTCAAGTGCTAGGTCCTCTTCTTCAGATGCCTCAAGAAAAACGAGTCTTCTGCGGTGTAGGCAATCGGGAAGTTCTAACAGCTTTCAAAACTGTTTCAGCACTCAAGTTCCCCCCTACTAGCTCAGTAGACTGAGGTATGATATCAGAAACCAAAGCAGACATTAATCTCATGTTTGACCGATTTCAAATCAATTTTCATGTTCTAACGAATCAAGACCAGACAGATTTCCAGAGTAAAATGACGTTATTTTATTTCACCGATAATCATCAGACACTTGCAACCTAAAATTTCATGTCTTAGTGGCAATAAGTGATAATTACCATATTATGTCATGGATAATTCTAAATATATAAAGAAATAGTAGTAGGGTCAAGCAAATCAAGGTTCAAGTGAAGGGAGTTGGTCAACAATGAAGAATTATATAATGATATGAAAAACAGGGAAATATCAACTCCAGTGGAAACTCGTTAGCTAGAAAGGAAGACATGATGTAACCCAAAATATAAATCAGTTACTAGGGTAACGTTAAATAGCGACAGCCTGTCGTTTAAGAAATGATTCTCCGGTTTGAACCACCCTTGATGTACTTCGGCCTGGTCAGTCTTTTATTATTCGTAATGAGGCTTATCAATGTCCAGTAAGTCAAAATTTTCCCAGACTGTCATTGATATACGAAGTGTTTATCTACTATCAGGCACTCTTTTCATTCATATGGTGAATTTATCCATTAAAATAGCGGTAATTACTTGTTGCGTAAGTTGTAGGTGTTTATATTGAATTACTTGCTGACTAAGAGATTTTTTCTCAAATATTGCACTGATGTCATTGACCAGTATAACACTAAAATGTTCTGCTATAAATATTCCACCTCAGGAAACAATTTAATTTGAAACAATAAGTCACTGTGAATTAGAATTGTATTTGAGGCTAGCAGCTATCTGTGATGTATGACTCAGAATTGATGCCAGTTAAGCAGATGCAACCACACCTTATCATCAACTCATGTGCTATATCACACTCCATTATTTTCCCTAACCTCTCTTCTTTTCATCCCTTGGCTGCTGATTATGCTATTTACACTCCCTTGTATTCTGTCTTGTTGCCGCCTATCCTATATTAGTGTGAAGTGTGACATGTTTCACCGTTATACAGTAGTTTCAGGTTGTTGATACTGACAGACTGATTGCGTCCTCTGTTGATCCAGGTTAAGCTGACCACGTTGATTAGTTGCCCGGGGTCTCAGAGACGAAAGAAATCAGTGGTTGAGGACTCTTGATGACTTGGTTGAAAATCGGTCACAATGGTGCAGATCTATTCATTTTCTGATGTCTTCTAAAGCTTGAATATTTGCACTAACCTTTATCCTCAAGTGGTCTCATACAACTTCATCTACTTTGATATCACTCTTATTCTACCCATCTTTCTGTGTATATTACTGTGAAGTGTGGCAACTTGTCCTGATACACTTGTATGCGAGGTTCTACGTTGATTTTGTCAATCAGTTACTCTATTTCAGTGTCTGACTTCTACTCTACGACGGTTGCAACTACTAATTACCATGATATTCTGAATTTTTCTACTAACTTATTCCATCAACTTTAGAAAAATAAGAAAATATTGCCAGTTTCTTCATAACAGGATTGAAACACCATATAAAGGGGTGCATATTTTTCCTAAATCTGAACTTGTTATTCCCTAGTACCTCATAAATTATTGTCTCGATCCTCTTTCCTGAATATAATTCCAGTGTCTTGTCATCTAATCCAATCGATGGAATAACACTCAATCCATTAGCTTTAGATCGTAGCCCAGGAGGAAGTAGTTCAGGTGAAGCAGCTTTAATTGCAGGTGGGGGTTCCGGTCTTGGATTTGGCACAGATCTTGGTGGAAGTGTACGATTTCCTGCTGCAATGTGTGGCATTGTAGGTTTCAAGCCTACACCGAAACGTGTAAGGTAGGTTCTTGTAGCTAAGATAACTTTAATTTGCAAACATGTTTTTATACTGTGTACTAAAAATATTGAGTCTTAAGCTTTCAAGTATGACTTTCGTTCATGTGGTTTTCAATCAGTGCACTAGTGCTCCGAAAACTATAAGTTGAAGTTGTTTAGTCTGCGGTTTCATTACTCTTCTCGCTTCAAGTTCCTTATCTTGTAGCCAACTTTTATTAAACCTGTGAAATGCTATTTTGATGGTGTTGTGTTCTCTAAGCCGAATGGTTCAATCGTGAAGTCTTCATTGTCATTCTAGACATCATCAGCACAAACTTCAGAAAGAAGTCAGCTATAGGGTTTTCTCCACAAGTGGCTTAGTAGCTTGTCTTGATGATCTGAAGTTTGACCTTCTTATTGTATCTTATTAATGGATAGATTGGGTCATTTTCAGTATTTCTGATGATTGCTGGTGGACGTGAATACCAAGCTTTCGATAATGAATCCATTTCATGGAGTAGTATACCCGGTCTCCTGAAACCGCACTTTAAACTTCATATTCGAGCTTTCATTATCTACACCCTCACTCAAATTGACCAGCAAGCGTCGCTCACCAATAATTCTTGTATCCAGGGCTGTGGGTGTATACTGTATCTGTGAGACTACCTTTTTGACCAGCATGGTCTTCAAACATAAAGAGATACATTGCCTGATATGGCATCCACCGACCCTAATTCATCAGTGGACACAGGTAGGTGTCATTTCTATCATATATAGCTGGAAAGTTTTGGTTGAAGATTTCTACTTATGGACAGTTTATGCGTTGTTTCGAGCACAATACCATTCTGAGAACAACTGGATGTTTAGAATACTTAGGCTGCTTTGAGTTAGGATCTAGCTAAACCATATTCGAAACAAAACAAGGTCACTTATGCTAGAAAAGTCTAGCGTCATCTCCAGTGTGTTTTTTAAAAGTATTCCAAACCATAACTGACTCAGAAAGATGTCAAGGAGGGCCAGTGGATCTCAGCGGCTTCTTCTGGATTTATGGATGCACATGAACTTATTCCTACAAGCTCTGAACACAACAGTGAGTGATGGTAACTCAAATGTAGACTGACAAAGAATCTACACATTAGCAGTGGTGGACAGCGAAAGCTAAAGCGATGGGAATGTCAGCGGTCATAGGTAACATTATACAGTCATTTAGAGTGATCAAGAAAACTAGGACAGAAGGGTCGATGGTTAATGAGACTATAACGAAGAAGGTTGTGCCTGTGGTTCACTGGCAAGGCAGACGACTGGGACGTTATATGGAACATCTCAACTAGTCTCCAGCTACTATCCTGTTGCTCGTTATCCAACCGGATTCTGAATGGGAAACTGAGATTTGGCCTCCAACACTTGTAAAAGTTGTTAGAATTGGAGGTAACCTGGAACGACGGAGGGCAGCAGATCCAGATCCTCTAGTACTAAAGGTATTTAGCGATGGCGGTCCGAGAGTTTGACTTTTTTAGCTCAAGTATCTAGCATATGCGAAACAGATATGATCTGGTCTGAATCATTGATTCTTCCATTGTGATAACCATAGTGGAATCAGTCTACTGAACATGATGTCCAGGATTTTAGGTTGCATAATCATCATACGTTTAAGTTAATATCTGGAAAAGGAAACTGTGGAAAACCAAACAAGTGGGTCTGAGACCCAGTCGTGAGTGTGTCGACCGGATACCCATCCTCGATTAGCTTCCGGGACACAGACACACCTTTTAGAGCTGTATTTCTCGACCTGAATGCGGCATTTGACTCTGTGGATCGAGAGGTCTTATGCTAGGATCTCTCATTGAAAGGGGTTCTGTGTAAGTAACTCACTTTGTTGAAGACTGTGTATTCGAATTCTCGTAGTGATTTGTATACTTTGAGTGGTATATGTCAAGAGTCTTCACTCTCTCCATCCTTATTTAGTTTTGTCATATACAGACTTATGAAGGCTTTACTCTTACCATGTGACTTTACAAGAATTAATCTCATCACAGGCCTTTTTAGTAGATCTAGGGTACGTGGATGGTATAGTCGTGTTAGGTGAAGACGATAATATAATACAGTCTACTACCTGAGTCCTCACTCGAGACTGGCATTAGATGTAGAAGGGTTGGGATCAACATACTACTGTATCGTGTCAATTTTTCTCTTTTCAAAGGGGATAGTCTAAAGTTATCATCAAGCAGCTTTTTGATTCTCGAGTGCTTTTAATAGGTCGGCGAATTTTGCCTAAGTAATTTGTACAAGTTGAACACTAGGTTATGAAATACTGAGCCTCTATGCATTTTTTTACAGTAAGCTGGGTATATCCTCACATGGACGATATATTACCCGTAAGTATTTGTATTTTTTCTATCAATTTATCATACTACTTGATATGCGATAAGAGTGGTCGAATGGTCTGCTCACACGTTTGGCATCAACTGTTCCTAGGTAGTTATGATATTTATATAGGGTGAACTTTCATCGAATGAGATGGCTAGGACGTGTGTTACGTATGCCTCGTCTTACAATCCTAACTGAAGTAACTTAAGGCTGGAAAGATGTTAGAAGTGGGCCAGACTAAAGCGGAGTATCATTGCATGAAGTCTTCGACTGGTCTAAACCATGTAGGGAAGTGTATACTTCCCGGTTGAAGTCCACATGACAGTAGAAACCAGTTATTGGAGACTCTAGATGCCATGGCTCAGAATCGACCTGATTGGCGCAGATGTAGCCACGAATTGAGCACCATCAATATCTACAGGGGACCAGGCATTATCTCTTAACGGTTCAAGTTACCACATCCCATATCAGCACACCAGGTAACAAAACAATCAGATTAAAAATGCAGAAATAAAGAAGAATTGGCAAAAAGCAGTCGAAAGCAGTAAAGGAGAGGAAGGGGGAATGATAAAACGTTAAATTCAGTGTAGCGTTTTGAATGAAAATAAAGTATGGACACATCTCCACTAACATCGATTTTGAGTCATATCACCTAGAGTCTCCAACCACTGGTTTCTGTTGTCACATGGACCCCCAACTGGCTGGTCTATACCTCTATACACAACACTGACCGACAGTCAAAGATTTCATGCGGTGATGCCATGTTTTATTCTACCCGTCTCCAAAATATCATACTCCGATTACCCTGTGGCATGCCGATGCAGGTGACATAGTCGGATTCAAAATTATTATATTATTATTTATCCCTTGGGTTCCTAGTGGGACATAGGGCTTCAGCAGCACGTCTCCAGTACACTCTGTTTTCTGCAATCTTTTAGACCTGGCACCACAACTACCCAGAAGCTTTCATTTCTTCCTCACATCATCTCCTCCATGTCACCCTCGCCTCGGATGCCCAACTCGTCGTTTTCCCTTTGCCTTCCACTAGACGGCCTGGCCTGGTCTGGTGCATGATGTCCCCACTCGGCCTTCTCAATGTATGCCCAATCCATCTCCACTTCCTTCTGCATATTTGTTGGGTGATAGATTCTTGGTTGGTTCGTTCCAGAGTTCCTTGCTGCTTATTCTTATCATTCTGGCCATCTGATCTTCAATATCGAGGCAACGTAGGCAGCAGCTGTTGATGAATGTCTGTAGTTTGTTGGAAATCCCTTCCGTAACGCGCCAAGTCTCTGAACCATCACATGGAAGCACTGACTTGACTGATGTTGGTGTTGAGAATCCGGATCTTGTTCACACTTTATGCTGAGTGCAGTAGATCTCCACACTGATTTCAGATTAATGAAAGTCTATCTTGCTTTTCCAATCCTGGTTTTGACATCCTCGTCTGTGCCTGCGCCTGTAGTTGAAACGATGCTGCCTAGGTAGGTGGGTAGATGAAAGAGACAACTTCCTTTAGGTTTCTCCCGTTCATGGTGATTGGTGCCTCTTGTTGTTGATGCTGTTGTTGGTTGGGTATCTGCATCACCTCTGTCTTCTCTACATTCATTTGAAGTACCATCTTCGCTGCCTTACCCCGCCTCTTCTGCCAACTTGTTGTTCTTCGCCTGTAGATCTTCAAGTTTGTGCCACAAGATATCAGACAAATCATCATTGGCAGCGAAATCCAAATCTTCTTCTGGGGTCTTTCCATTGGTCTAGCCAATGCCTGCCCATCTTCTCGCTCCTCACTGTTTGCTGCATGATCCAGTCCACCACAATCAGGAAGATCATCGGTGATAGTAGGCGACAACCTTGTCTCACTCCTGCCCCTTGTCTTCACTTCAAAGGCATAACTGAGCTTTCCATTGTCAATCACTCGGCATGTAGCATCATATAGCATATAGCTGTTGAGTGACGTTGATAAAGGTTTGTGGCATTAAAACCGTAGGGTTGAAGCAGCAGCCTGCCAAATTACTTCTAGGTCGACGCTATCGAATGCCTTTTCAAAGTCGATGAAGTTGAGGTAGAGAGTTGACTGCCATTGTATGTTCTGTTCTATGATGATGCGTAGCGTCGCGTTACAATTTGTTTCTCCTGAAGCCAGCCAGCCAGCCTGTTCCGGTCGTAATCCAATTGAATCCAGAGCATTTTTCAGGAGTGAGACAAGGTTGTCGCCTACTATCACCGATGATCTTCCTGATTGTGGTGGACTGGATCATGCAGCAAACAGTGAGGAGCGAGAAGATGGGCATGCATTGGCTAGACCAATGGAAAGACCCCAGAAGAAGATTTGGATTTCGCTGCCAATGATGATTTGTCTGATATCTTGTGGCACAAACTTGAAGATCTACAGGCGAAGAACAACAAGTTGGCAGAAGAGGCGGGGTAAGGCAGCGAAGATGGTACTTCAAATGAATGTAGAGAAGACAGAGGTGATGCAGATACCCAACCAACAACAGCATCAACAACAAGAGGCACCAATCACCATGAACGGGAGAAACCTAAAGGAAGTTGTCTCTTTTATCTACCCACCTACCTAGGCAGCACCGTTTGATGTCTGCAAGTGGAGTCTTGCCTAGTACTGATTGCAGTTGTCTATAGAATTCCTCCTTCTTCTCTTGCTCTGCATTATTTGTTGGTGCGTAACATTGTATGATTGTGACCTTCCTTCCTTCCTTTTGAGTTGAATATTGCTATCATGATCCAGCTGGAGGAGGATATTGGTTCCTACTGCATGAGAGAGAGCCTTCGATGTTCTTGGGGGCATCATGTTAGCCACTCGAAAACTCAGTGTGCTCGTGGTTGTCGTGTGGGTTACCGGAGTAGATTATTGACTCTCCAGTTGACAGTTTGGAGAGTCCACTTCCATTCCATCTGCTTTCGCAGATTCCTAGCACTTCTATGCCATACCTCTTCATCTCTTTTGAAACCTGGCCAGCCTTGGTAGGTTCATACAATGTGCGGACATTCCACATCTCCATTTTTACTTTTGCTTTCATCGAGAGAAGAGAAGACACATCGGCCGACTGGCTTCCGAAGACTTTCACCAACCGGCGTTATTTCGTCTCTCCGATTCCGGCGTGGAATAAGTTTTTATTTTTGATATTTTCTTTGTGGTGGGAAGTTTGTTTAGCGATTAGATTGTTTTCTTACCGGTGTAGCTTTGCTAGCCGTATGCTCGACCTTCCTTGTTTATCCGCGCTTAGGACCGGATAGTAACCAGTGAACTAGTTAACCAGGCGAGGTTGTCATATTTAGAAACAGAAACTTGTTTGCAGTATTTCCTTGTTCTTCCATGCTTTCTTTTGATGACTTCCTAGAGAGTATGTAAATATATCGAGAGTATGTAAATTGTTTTATTCAGCAAAGTGATTTCTGACTGTATAAGCTTATTGTTAGTGTTGAAGAAGTTTTTCTGTTTATATCTTAAAAATGGCTGTGAAATAAAGTTAATCGGTTGTTTTTCACCTTTCTCGTAGGTTCCTATACAAGCATGTTAACTCGAATACTTCTCTGTTTTCCGGTCTACATATGATCTGTGAGATTGATTAAAATGAGTACAGCTATGCTAATTGTTTTCTGCACTGTTACTACGTATGGAAAGCGTGATTTCACCATGATAATGATTTTCGACAGTGTAGTTGCAGCTTTTCGTTGTGAGGAGGAGCGCATAGTAGCTGAAACTTAATGCTGATAGAAAGAAGCACTGATTTCAACAACATATTCTTTTAACTTGTTTTACGAAATCAAACAACTCACTTACCTCAGAAAATGTAACCTTTTCGCAAACCTTTGGTCGCTTTTTTGAAAAAAAGTGTCGTTAAAAAGTTTTATTGAACTACTTTAAACTCATTAACTTGACGTGACGATCCACAACTCAGTCATGTAACTGATTAACGGTTCGAATGACAGTGTTATGAGTGATCTGTCGTCGCTTTTACTATATTTCTCCTTCTTTTTTATGGAAATTGAGAGTTCTGTTGGTTTTCCTTGCGCGAGATGTACAAACGTGTATTTTGGCGGCTCAGTCTATTTGGAATTCTAGTTTACATCATGAATTAGACTATTTTTGTCCACCAATGACCTTTAACTCAGAGGTAAGCTGGGAATAGCTTTCATTTACCATAATTATGCGTTACTTTCATCATAAGGATTTTTTTGAAAATAACTGTTTACAAATTTCATCATTCAATAAATTACTGAAGCTTTATATCTCTAAAAAAGTGTACTCGGAAGATTTAAGCTCATTTTTGTTGCACGAATTATTCTCAACTGCTTGCAGACTTTTTTGTATCGAAATGTGTGCATAACAAAAAGCTGCACGTATTCTTTCTAAGTTGATGGAGGCTTGCACCCTATTAATCACCTAAAGATGTTGACTGGTACGCTGTTAAGCTGTGAGCTAAACTGAACTTATAGGAGAAATTCAAAGGAAGGTTGAGAAATGCCTGCGTTATGCTGGTTATATTCACTTCATCAATTGAATACGGTGATTTCAGTACGAAACGATTGTCTCTAAATGGTAATAAAGTTTCCCGAGGAGTGGGGTAGAGACTGAATGATTTACTAATGGGGACATATCTTCCTATCAAGTTAGTCTGTTGAAGGTCAGCAAGGTTATATCTGATCATTTTTGTGAAGAATTAATGAATGTCAGATAGCAACTAAAAAATTATTTCATCCAAATTTGAAACCTAACTGTAAAGTGTTTTTTCAGTCTTTTTCAAAATAGAATCGCATCACATACATATCTTGTAATGAACATTTCTCTGTTGACATAGCTTTTTGTATCACACAAAACAATTTGAAAGGCATTTTGAATACCTGGAATCCTTGCTGATCTACTCACCTTTGAGTTGACAATAAATACGGATGCCAACTACAAATGCGTTTCACTGAAATTTCAACGGTCTTCAGTCTTTTAGTTGAATGATTAACAGATAGATGGGACTTGGCACAGACGTGCATGACTGACTGATAAAAACAACATAGATCCTTGCACACAAGTTCAAGTTGCCACACTTCACATCAGCACCCAAAGAACAGATGTATAGAAAAGGAATGATATCAGAAACATAAAGCTGTATGAGAGAACAAGCGATTTGAAGATAACAGTGCAAATACTCAAGCTTTAGAAGACTTCAGAAAGTGAATACATCTGCGCCACTGCGACTGATTTTCAACCATGTCATCTAGAGTTCTCAACTAACTCACTCCATTCGTCTCCAGGACCTCAGCCAATTAGTCTACATCTGCCCACATAGTTTAGGCCAACAGTCAGTGACGTCATGAACTGATGCGACGTCTTGGTCTGGTCACACTGAACCCTCGTTCAACCTGATCCAACTCCCCCAGCCTAGACTAGTACGTCGAGGTAGGTGGTGGCTCGCTGGACATGTGCACTACATTTCCAAGCCATTTAAGTCGACAAGGGTTCACAACCTCATCGATCGACTTGCCTATCTTATCTAGTACCCTTCGCCTGACCTCAGTTTTGCTAATACAGCGATTCCACTACAGGCGAGCAATGCTACGAAGATACCTATAATACACACTCCAATCGCTTCATTCCTTCTACTTCTAACAGTGGTCTCTTTCTTCTGTATAACAGAACGTAACGGACTGATGGAGAATATTTGTAGCTCAGGTGGATGGTCTTGTTTGTATTGTGTTCTCTGAGCTGGGTTGTTTAATCGTGAAGCTTTCATCGCCTTGCTAGACGACATCAGCACTAACTTCAGTATGAAAGCTTCACGATTAAACAACCCAGCTCAGAGAACACAATACAACCAGGACATAACGGACTGGGGTGGAGTATACCCGTCTTTTGATAGACAGTCGGATATCTCTCTAGTCGGAGCCAGAGATTCTACAAGTTCACAAATTCTAAATGGGCTTTCTGTATACAAGTTGAGGTTTCATCAACAACCAATTCTTTCGGGCTGATGCAATTTCCCAAGTAAATGAAGTGGTCGACACATTCCCCCTTTTCACTCCTTATCCTTAAACCAGGAGTGTTTACAGCAGACCATCCTGGAGCATTATCTTACATTTCGCATGTACGGAACGCATGCCAAACAGACATTTTTGCACAGAAGTGCATCATTTTAAATAGCCAGGCTCATTAGCAGCATGCCAAGAAGTGGATGGCGAAACAGTAATTTTAAGGGCGACAAAAGTTTATGATAGACTTGAGAATAAATGAATGAAAGTTCTTGAAAATATTCAAGACTTTGAAGATGAAAAAGGGTGTATACATCTGCGTCATTGCGATCGATTTCCAGCCATTTCACTAAGAACCTCTAAGCAGCTATTTCTTTCATCTGGAGAACTCCAGTTAGGTAGCCTACGCTTCTATTCACAACTCAGATTAGTTGTTAGTGACTTTATGAATGACTGGTACCAGTCCTGATTTTGACCGCCCCTTGGGTTTTTAGAAACTAATACTACTTCGTCTAACGTGACGCTCACGTCGAATTAGTCAATCGAAGGAAGTTCATAACCTCATCAACTATTCAGGCAGCTTACTAGTCTATGAAATGAAACTTATGCCCAGTAATAGTAATAGTAAATAAAGTGAAAGATGTATATCTTTTTTTTGCTAGAAATGTACCTAGGTATGAAGATCTGTTACTTTGCTACATCGTGAATCATTGTCACCAAATTTA